GTGTCAAAAACTGAATACACAATTAATATCGGAGAACTACACAACGATTCCAAGAATTTGAATACACAAATACAATTGCATAAATTTCAAAATACAAATGACCCAAATAAAGGAAAAGCCTAAAAATTAAGGAATCATAAAATTTGAAGATTCATCTCTCAACTAGTGCATGTCACAGAATGGTTACTCTCTGTGCCTGCAAGAAAAAAACAAAATACCATCTTCCATCAATTAGAAAATATGAAACCACAAAGAAAATATTGAAGCCATTGGACACAAACACAATTAATATTGGAGAACCCAAAGAAAACAAGAATACCCAATAACTTAAAATGATCTAAAGCTTGGATTCAATAAGAGAGCATCTGAACAAATTTCTATCCAAGGTAAACAAAAAAATTACAATACCCACAAGAATGCTGAAAAGTGCACAAATCCAACACAGTCAACAGGGAAGAGAGAGTGTGTGTGTGTGTGTGAATAGGGGAGAGAGAGAGAGGTGATGATTTGGTTTAGTGTGCTGAATTGTGAATAAACATGGTTGAGATAGAGTAAGAGAGATGGCTGAGAAGAGGAAGAGATAGAGAGATAGCGGGAAATGACTGAGAAGAGGAAGAGATATAGAGCGGGAAACGGGTGAGAAGAGAAACAGGGAGAGGGTAACGACTGAGAAGAGGAAAGGTTTTCGGCTGAGGTGATTTAGGTTTATTGTGACATTAAATTAGAGGATAAACATGATATAATTGACTAATTGTGGTGTTAGAGGATAAAAGTGAGAAAAAATATTTTTCATATGTTGATATTTTAAAGTAGTATAGATATATAAGCTATGTAGCCCACATTTGTTAATTTGTATATTTTTAATGACAAAAATAACATTTTTTTTCATTAACTCATTTTTCTCTATTTGCTATCCATTATTCTCTCTTTTATCTCTTTAGTACACTCACTAGTTGTCTTTATTGGCCAAAAAATCTAGCTTTATGTACCCGTCACCAAAAAATCTTTAAATGATCGACAATTTTCGATCCAATCTACAATACGTATACATTTCTAAGTGATTTATCTTTTTCCTTTTCTTATAAAATCTTTCAATCAAACATTGACAAGTAAATATTTGGGTTAATCTCATTTTGCACCCCGAAAGATCGTTCGAATCTCAAATTACACCCTCAAAGATTAAAAATCTCAATTTGCACCCTCAAAGATAGAAAATTATATCAATGTACACCCCCAAAGATCAAAAATCTCAATTTGCACCCTCAAAGATAGAAATTTATATCAATGTACACCCCCAAAGATCAAAAATCTCAATTTACACCCTCAAATATAGAAATCTGTATTAATGTGCACCTAAAACTAAATTGATAAATTATACCTAGATCCCCTCATGTTTGTCACTTAATCATTTGAACCCCTTCACATTTAGAATATTACCCCTACATCTCATGACCATTGTACATGTGTAAACATAACCACTTTTCGTTGATATCTATTAATATAATCGTTAAAAAATATGATTTTATCCTAATAAAAAATTATAATTTCATATTACCCTTTATTTTGTGGATTCGATATACTCTAAAGTTCAAAATCAAGCTTACCATTTGAATGTCTAATAGAATGTAGATAAATGTCATGAGATGTAGGAGTAATATTCTAAATGTAAAGAGGTCCAAATGATTAAGTGACAAACATGAGAGGATTAGGTATAATTTATCAATTTAGTTTTAGGTGCATAATGATACAAATTTTTATATTTGATAGTGCAAATTGAGATTTTTTATTTTTGGGGTGCACATTGATATAAATTTCTATCTTTGAGGGTGCAAATTGAGATTTTTGATCTTTGGGGATGTACATTGATACAAATTTCTATCTTTGAGGGTGCAAATTAAGATTTTTGCTCTTTGAGGGTGCAAATTAAAATTTGAACTATCTTTCGGGGTATAAAATGAGATTAACCCTAAATATTTGGTATAAGTGGCTTAGGTGAACCTCAATTCTTTATATAAGATAATTATTTCTTTATATATATAGGATAGTTACAAAATTAAGTGAGATTAACTTATTTATTTTATTATTTGTTATTAGACGATGAAACCACATGATAATAGTGACGTGAATTACAATTAAGAATAATGTTATAGAAATCTAAGTGGAGGACCTAATCAGTGACGTAATTTAATATAATTATTAAATTAATTATAAATTTTAATGTTTGGTGGAGTTAATTTTCAATTCAATGATTGAATTAAGTTAGTAATGAGCTGCAAGTATAATTTTTCTGCATTCAATATTTCGAAGCTAGCGAAGAAAGTGGGCTTTTGGGTAAGTGGGATTCAATAGGCAAATGGAGTGGATTAAGAGAGTGTTTAACATGACTTAAATAAAAGTGTTTTTTTGTGACTTTTACTTATCATAAGTACTACTTCAACAAAAATAATGTGGTGTTTGGATTTACTTTTTTAAAACACCTAAAATAAGTTAAAAAGTAAATTTATCACTTAAGTTAATAAGTAAAAGTTAAAAAAAAGACTTTTACTTCCACCCGCGCCCCGATCATCTCTGTCGAAGAAGTCTCCCAGCTCTCGTCGGTGTTCTTCCATCTCTCCGACTATCGTCGATAAGCTAGGACACGCTCACACCCGTGCTGCCTCTCCCGATTCAGATGTTCTCATCCACGATAACCCCGACAACAACCACTTCGCCTTTAATTACCTCGTCGATCACCGACGACACCAAAAGTAGCTCGCTCTGTCACCGATCTTTGTCTTTTGTTGATCGAGATCCACTGTAATGGAGGTACAACTTCTTCATTTTAAGTGATTTATTGTGTGTTTCTATAATCTTGTTTGAGGTTTTTAGGTTAACATTTATGATGAAATTTGTGGAGAACATTGAATGATTTTGGGAACAAATATTTTTATTCATTACATATTAGATCTGTGATCTTTATGATTTAGATCTTTGATATTGTCCACTGCCCACCAAATGTTTGATTTATGGAGGCACCTAAAATTGCCCTGTGCAATGAACTCTATAAGAACCGTTGCTGCCATAAGATTAACCCCAAAACTCTGCACATACCAATTATTCATATGAGTTGAGGATGGAAGAGTGTGAAACCTCTAATCATTTTTTCTACTCAAAGCCGAATATAACAAAGAAACAAACCAGGATTCAAGTAGTTCATTTTTTTATGTCTCATTTTGTGGATTAATTTTTTTTTTCTCTCAATCCCGTGCATTCTTTTTTTGGGTAATTGCATGCTAAACCCATAAAACTTAGCTTCACGGTATATAACATTTGTCTAATTGGTATAATGGGTTGCTGAAAGTAGAAAACTTAGCCAAGATATGAGTTGTATTTTTGTTGTAAATAATTTTTAAAAGCTAGTCCTCACCATCTACTTTGTGAAATCTCAACTCTAACATGTCTTATTTTTTTCATTTTCTAATGTTTATTGTTACTTGGTTCTTTCACAATGAGAAACTTATAGATGATTGTATATTTTTCAAGGTGATAAGTGACCATTTGGGACTCGGAATCAAGACAGGGCTGCCTTACATATGACATAGCAAAGCTAGCAATCCATTTATGAACCTTAAAAAAGAGTACAATGACCTCTTCCGGCAAGAAGAGATCATCCCCTTCTTCCAAGCATCTGTCCTTCTAAAGGAGTGCGTTACTGTTCAGAAGTGTTACATTGAAGATGCCCTTGTGCAGTGGATATATAAGAAGAAGTCTTTGAGTTGTGGTTTGATTAGAAGTCTTGCTCTTATTATATATTGGCAAGTGTGGAAAGAGAGGTGTCGAAGATTGGCTAGAGAGAGGAAACAATATTCTTACTCTATCCATGTAAGAGTTTGCAGTATTTTAAGGTACCAGGTCAGAAATATTAAACCAAAGGTGTTGGATGATAGTGTGGGTAAAGCCTTTTTGGAATTTTTGCAAGTGGATTTTTCTTATAAGGCTTTACTTTAGTGTATTTGGGTGCAGTGGGTGTGTCCAGCTGCTGGTGTGTTAAAGTTGAACTCTGATGGGGCGTGAGAAGGTGGGAGTTGTGAAGATGTTTTGCTGGAATGTTGGAAGCTTTTGTTCCTGGATCTGTTGTTTTAGTCTGATGGGAGTTGTTTTGTTTTTTTATGTTGGTTTGGTTGTAATTTCTGTTATGGAAACGTACTTTGGCCTTTTTTTTTTGCTTCTTGTAATTGCTGTTTTGTGAATAAATAAAATTTTTATGTTTTGCTAAAAAAAAATAAAAACTGTTCAAGTAGGTTAAGGAAAAGCTTGGGAAAGTAGACCTTTACTTTGTCAAGCTTGCGGGCGCCATGGATCGAAGCTTGGAATGAGCTCAACCCAGCCACAGGACTCCCAAATTGTCCAATGTCGCTGTCAAGTGAGAGTTTTGATTGACAGTAATTATTTTATTTTTTAGCAGCTATAAAGCTCAATTATTTTGCATTGTTATATCCTTTTATCCATGTCTTGATTTATAGATTGGTTGTTGTATTTTTTTCTTTGTTTTTGGTTTCTTGAAACAATTTTGCTTTAATGTGAACCTGTAATTTGATTTAACAATCAATTTTGGTAATATTATATGGGTTTGTGCAATTTAGTTGTTGAGTTTAATTTTATTATATGGATTTTGCTAATAACCTATGTATTTTGTGATGCTACTTTAGATGACATGATATTTGTATGTATGATATTTTTTTGTATATCAATTTATGTATGTATATGTGCATTTAATACTATTAATAATTGTGACACAAATAAATATTTTTACATCCAAACATAATACTTTAATTTAAGTATTTTTAATTTTAAATATCTAAACAATATTTATTTAATGAAAGTATTTTTTTTATAAAACATTTTTGATAAACGCTTACCGAAAAAATATTTATAAGATTTTATTAGTCATTCCAAATATATTTTTAGAGCCCGAGCGCAAGCTCAAAACCAAGTCCAAGTCCAGACAGATGTTTCCGGAATAAAAGTTGGGGCAGGCCCGAGAACTATCCGATAGACCCTCTTATTTTTGGATCTGGTGGCCTCACTCTCTCCATCCGAGTCGCCTACACCATCCAGTGTTAGGTTATCTACTTCTTTATCCTAATCCTGCAACGGTAAAGTATCAGGACAATCGTCACCGAATCGTCACAGCAGGTTCAATCATCATCTCTTTTTGGAATTGATCGCAGTTTTACTTTTTTTTTTTTAAAATCCGGAAGGTAGATTCACTTTAATTCGTTCTACGTTAAGATTAATTTGCGGTCATACGAATCTAAAATTGTTCTTATATTTTTTGTAATTGAACAATATTTTTGTTTGATTCTACTACAAAGCTGTGATTAGGGTTTTTGATTGTGGAAATTACTCTTTGTTGTTTTTTAGTGGAAGGGTCAAGTAATTGTTGATCTATTCGACTACAAAAAGCTAACAACATATGCTCTAAAAAACTTCGTCGATAATGTATTTTGCTTTTCTTTCTCCCGAGTTCACTCCCTTTCCCAAGCGTAATCATGGGTATAGGAGTATTTATGTGCGCATACTTACTCTTATTACTTATACATCAAAATGTTCATACACTACTTTTAAAGAACTGTTATCTAACAGTTTTTTTTTTTTTTTTTTCTGGCTTTTGCCAAATCAAAAAATTTGAAAAAATGTTTTTTTTGGCTTATAGATAGTACTCTAGAAGAGTTGCCAAATGTAGCCTTAAGGTGAAATAACTATAGGTAAAGACTCTATAATGAGTGCGGTGAGATAACGTTTATAAAATTGGCAGGTTGTGTTTGAGTTGTGGATTGTAACCGCATGCCACCACATGTATAGAAGTGCTTGGTACAATTATAGACACATCAGTAGAAGGACCCATTGGAGGTGAGTGGTTGTGGGGGATGAGAAGAAAAGAAGAGTGAACAGACAGACAGTGACTCTCTTTTCTATGGTTTCAGTGGAGAAAGAGGGCTCTTAAACATACGCATTAATGCAATTTTATTCTCTATAGAATGGACAGGTGTCTTGCAATTTCCTTCCCATCTATCTTAAAGCTTTGGATGGGCCTGCTAGAGGTTGGAAATCATTAGGATCTAGGGCTCTGTAAGTAATGGATGAAGTTTTTGAATGTAACTGTAACATGGAGAGTCAATTGATCTCTTACATGCTGTATTTTGATTGATATACTGTATTATTGGGGAGTGGTTGAGCAATATGACGTTCCACTAAAATATAGATATCAACATCATTTTGTGTTGATTATTGTTGTATTTTTTTCCTGCCTCTTATTATTATTATTATTATTATTTTTTTGTGTTTAAACAAAATGAAATTTCTGATTTCCGGTCTATTATGTAATCCAAACACATGTAACTCATAAATCATAATGTGGTTATTATATTGATTTGTGTTGAAGTTACTCGGTTGGAAAAAGGTGATGAAGCTGGAGTTAAAGTCAGCTGTTCTTATGTCAGTATTTAGGTAATGGACTATTTTGGGGCATAGACCCCTAGTAAGAGGTGCCTGGTGATTTCTTACCAAGGATTTGGCTGTGGACTTGGTTCTGTATAGTAAGCAATATCTTGGTGTTGGTTAAACTGAGTTGTAATTGATGTGAGGTGGTTTTTTTGTTGGAATGTGTGTGTTGTATAGTGGTTGGATTCGGTTTTGAATAGTATGAAAGTAATGTAGGAGTTGAATTTGGACTCATGGATGTGGTCTTTGGTGTGTGGTTGTAGTGGACAGTGTGGAGGCAGCAGCTGTGGTGGTGGTGGTGGTGGTGTTTTTGCAGATCAGTGGTGGTTGGTGTTAATAGGATTTTGAATATGAGTTCAGAAGGCAGGAGCCGAAGCAGGAGGAGCAGTAGCAGAAGCCCGTTGGATCGCAAGATTCGTACACAACGCTATTCCTATCGGGATGCACCATACAGGAGGGATTTGCGTCGGGGTTTCAGGTTTTCTTGTCTAAAATCATTTGTTCATGATTTATTTTTTCTGTGTATACCAAGTGCTGGTTGGGAGTAGAAGAACACATATAGAAGCATTCTGCTAGATGCTCAAGCTGTTCCTTAATGCTCTGTATGGAAGGGCCAGGATCTTGGAACTATCATGATTTTACATATGGTTTCTCACAAACCATTGCTTATTTATGTTTATTTATTTTTAGCTTGAGTACTTGCACCAAAATTTTTATGATTGCTCATCCTGTTACATTGTTTATATAAAGTTGGCTTTCCACGTGTTGATGCTACTACAGTCACGTTTTTTTCTTCTTTTTTCTTGCTTGCTTTATTTCTTAAGCTTGCGTGTATGGCATATTCTTGGTGATGAACAAACTTATAATGTTTCTTGGTTGCATTTCGCATGAATATTTTCTACTCGGCTAGCCATGTTCTTGGATACTTTTTCTTGTTAGGCAGGTTTCTCATGTTCTTTTTCTTACAAAAGAAATATTACTACTATTCTTCTATGAAGCCATCCTCCAGTTTGATATTTTCCTTGGTTGGATTCGTACTCCTCTCCCCCTTGTTTGTAGTCGGAACATTGGGTGGGATCAGGCGTTCTTTGTGAATGAGCAGTTATATGTTTTCCTGAGGCTGTGCTCGTCCCCTGCTCTGCTGCATCCTGAAGTATCAGGCAGTTTGCAATATTTTGGTTATAGTATTGAGAAATGGACATTATTGTTTTTGGGTTGTGTGTTCAGTGTTCTTGCAGGAAATTAACAAGTGATGGTGTTTTTTTTCAGCGAGAACATCCTGTGTAAGAACTGTAGGCGGCCAGGTCATTATGCTAGAGAATGTCCTAACGTGGCACTTTGTCACAACTGCGGTCTCCCTGGGTAAGAAAACTTGTGATTTGCTTTTCAGTAGTTCAGTTGGTATTCGCCCTTTCGTAATTTGAATATTTGAGCATCAAAAATTGATTTATGTTTTCTTGACTGGGTGGAATCTTTAATTGTTGAGGACATTTTGAATGAAGGGATTTCAAATGGAGAGGAATGAGAAATCTCTTCAGTTTTAAATTGTTTGGATGAGTTGTTAAATCTCCATAAATTGAAACAGCAAAACATTTCTCCGTAAATTGGTGGGATTTGTGGCCTAGGTGAATGAGATTAGGACAATACAAAGAGGATTATGTTAATGGTTGTAACATCAACAAAAGTGATGTGGATGAGGGTGGCCTTCATAGCACACTGGTAGTTATTGTTGAATTAGTTCAGTGATAGTGGCAGTATCGATGACAGAAGTATTTCAGTTAGTGAGGTTCTAGTGGCACTAATTTTAGTGTGGTGGCAGTGGTGGGTGGCTACGCTAATGGCCATGGTGGCAATAATGATGGTGGTAGCATTGCTGGTCGCGTTATGGTTGCAACCTTGGTTGTGACTCTGCAGAATTCTAAATACAACGAAATACAGCTTCTGACGAGGTTTTCATATGTATTTGGCATTTCAAAATCCCTTCTACATTTTCAAACAACCAAATTTAAGGTGCGCTTGGAAACATTTTTTTTTTTTGTAAAAAAAAAAACAGAACTAGTTTTTGTTTTTTCTGTGATAAAAATTAAAAATATAAAACATGTTTGATAGTCATTTATATTTAAAAATTATGAAAACAAAAATAAAAAATATGTTTGGTATTATGGCTATTTTGGTTAATTTTTTAATCTCAAATAAGTTACTCCTCAAAATATTATTGGGAAATGCACCACCCAAAACCACCAATACCCACTACCCATTTACCCAAACCCATCGATACCCACTATCACCAGTCCCTAAAACCCACCACCAGCACCCAAAACTCACCACCACCACCCCTCTGAAAACCCATCGTGCAATGCATCACCACTAGCCCCCAAAACCCACCACCACCCACCACAGAAAACCCACCACCACTACCCCCCAAAACCCATCACCACCACCAGCACCCAAAACCCATCACCACCACCCCCTGAAAACCCACCATGCAACCCCCTTTGAAAATTTACTACCAACTCCTTAAACCCCACCACCCAACCCACCACAAACACCAGACCACCACCACTAGTCCCCAAAACCCACCATCACCCACCCTTGAAAACCCACCACCAGCCCCCAAAATCCACCACCAACACCAGTCGCCCATAGACCCCTAGAGTTTCATCGGAGAGAGCTTCGCCCACAATTGTAGATCCCACAGAGACGAGAGAGAGAAAAGGGGAGGGAGCTTTTTTTTGCTTTATATATGTATTACAAAAATGTCCTATTTTTTGCTTCTAATGAAAGTCGAAGGCTGGACCTCATAAAAAGTCCCATTAGCCCTGCGTGTTTTTGTTTTTCTGTGTTTTCAAAAAAAACATTTTTCTTGTTTTCAAAACAACTGAACTAAAAAAAAAAAAACAAATATATGAACCAAATGTATTATTTTCAAAAAAAAAAAAAAAAAAACAATGAGTTACCAAAAGCAACCTTAATTGTCACATTTTTTTTTTCACCTAAATACTTTCTTATTTTGTAGATTAATTCAACGATGATTTCCTTTCATTGTGTTAGCTAACTAGAGTGTTGTAGTATTCTGGTAACTGGCTCACGTAATTTAGCCTTAAGCATACAGGATAGGTTCGGTTTTTGTGGTGCCTCTTTTGGGGGCTGGGCTCGACTGCTAAATGCAACATGTTTATCTTTTTCTTCTGGAGCAATGTGTGCTATAATACATTGGAATGGCAACTTGTTGGATTAGATTTGTTTGGTTTTGCCAGCCAAGTCCAAAACATTCGGTATAGGATTGGTATTTTTTTGCAGTTTTTTTTTTTAAATCGAAGAAAATCTGTTCTAAGTCTTTATTTTTTGCATTATTTGGGGTTAAGGTTTTTTCTTGGATTTTTGTTAAGCCATATGTGCTTTATGCATCGTGTGCTTACAGTAGGAATCTCATGTCATTTGTACGATAGAGTAGAAACTTCGGCACCACAAACCATTGATTGTTTGTTCATAGCATGTTTTGGAGAACTTGTAGTGAAGTCTCCACCTAATGTGATGCCCTTTGTGCAAGTTTGATGGATGGTTCTCATTTAATAATTCAATAATGATTCTTGTAAATAGACTTCATAAAACATGCATGCACTAGGTGTGTTGCACTTACTAGTCACATTAGTATTTCTCTTGATTTATTCTACACCAACCCATAGCTGTCCTTACATTGCATTTTGCTTTAGATGTGAATTATTGGTGTTTCCCTTATGTCATAATCACTAACATTTTCTTCTCAAATTAATTCAAAAACATGAAACAGGCATATTGCTTCAGAATGCACCACAAAATCACTGTGTTGGAACTGTCGAGAACCGGGCCACATGGCTGGTAACTGCCCAAACGAGGGCATTTGCCACACCTGTGGTAAGGCAGGACACCGTGCTAGAGAATGCCCTGCTCCCCCACTGCCACCTGGTGACCTAAGGCTGTGCAATAACTGCTACAAGCAAGGCCATTTTGCTGCAGACTGCACAAATGACAAGGCATGCAAGAACTGCAGGAAGACTGGTCACCTGGCACGTGATTGTCAGAATGATCCCGTCTGCAACTTGTGTAATATATCTGGTCACGTGTCCAGAGAATGCCCGAAGGGCAACATTTTTGATGAGCGCGGAGGTGGTGGTCGTTTTGGTGGCGGTGGTTATCGGGACATTGTATGTCGGAACTGCCAGCAGGTGGGCCATATGAGCCGAGATTGCATGGCCTTGATGATTTGTCAGAACTGTGGGGGAAGAGGACACGTGGCATATGAGTGTCCATCTGGAAGGTTTATGGACCGCTTTCCGAGGAGATACTGATGGATGAAACTGTTGGCCAATAATAGCTTGACTGGTAATATTGTCTTGTACTATGTTTTTTGTCTAAATTGAGATTGTTGACTCGGCTTTTAGGGGTGATTAAGGTTAATATTGAGTTCTTGTTTGGTCAACTCTTATTAATACACTGTATGAGGATTGGAGCATTCACTAGTTTAGAAGTTGGTATGATATGGTTGTGCTTCTTGTAGGGTATGATTGAAATGTTGCAGTTAGGTTTTTATGCTGACCATTTTGCCTTGAGATGAAATATGGTCCCAGGTTGCGCATGGATTTGTGAGTTAAATTCGAGTTTGTTGACCTCTGGATGTTCATTTGAGATGGTTGGGATCTCACTTCACAGGCAGCACATCGAGTTTGGCGAATGATGTTTCATCAGCAACTCCAAGTCTCCAACCCATATATGTTTCTCCTCCTCCTTGAGAATGAGTCAGCTAGGTTGTGTCCTTGAAAACCACCTGCCCTTGCTCAATGTTAACTGAGATGTTTAGAGAGTTTCTATGTGCTGTTAAGCCACCTGGAAGGCTAGTATTCCTGGAACTTCTTGCTCGTAGCACCCATTAAGATTTAGCCATTCAGAAATTAAAGTTGAGCAGGGGACAGGGGAGGGTGTTAGGAGGGGTAGTGGAGCTAAGGTGTTGGGGCATGGGCATAATAGCAGCCACTCAGTAGTGATGAATAGGCAGCAATAGCGCACGGTGGAGGTGGTGGCTGGGATGGTGATGATAGCAGTTGGACAGAAGTTTATTGCATGCTATGATGTAAACAGCTCATTTATTGTTGAATCATACAGATTTGGATTGCGATCTAGACCTCGTAATTGGTTCAAGTTCTCAATTTCAGCCTCTGTTTTACAACTAGAAGCTGTCAACTGAGTCCTCTGCTGTTTGTGATTGGATCTGTCAATTTTCTTCCACTGGTTAGTCTACCAAGAATTTGAATGCTTGCTAATAAGATAGATGAACTAAGGTTGGTGGTCAGGATCCTAGACAGAGACTTGAATAGAACTTTGGCTGTGACAGTTAGTTCTCACCTTTGCTTGAACTCAGGTTTTTGGCCTTGGTAAGCTTTTTTGCCACAGCTTATTGACGGACATGGTTATGCCGTTTTGACAAATAGCCTTTGATGCATTGCCTGGTTTTTGTACCTAAAACACTAACGTTGGATTCAAGCGATGCATAAGATTTACCAAGGCCACCCATACCTCTCATCATCGTCCTTTACCTGTTTAATTTTTGTCTATTGTTCTTAGGGGGAAAAAATCGAAAGAAAGTTGAGCGGTTTAAGTAAGAAATGGGAACTTGGGAGGAGATTAGAGATAAGAGGAATGGATTTTTTTGTTCAAAATATAAATTTTCATTCAATCAAAAACTGGGAAAACCCTATTCCTATTCTAGCCTCTTTGAGTATGATTTGCATCAACTGCGTTGGAGGTGATATAAACCAGTAGGGTGGAAGAGTATCTAGTATGGGCTGCATAGCCAGCATATGTGCTGTTGAATTACAGGATCTCTCTGTAAATCTGTATCTGACATTGGATAATTGCATTACATATTGCCATATATCCTGTTGGATAACTTTGATATCCCTGCTGATTGCATTTGGTCCTTGCATGAGAGAGTCTAGGAGTACCTTTGAGTTTGGTTCCAAAACCACTGCCTGATAACCTATGTCAACCGTGAGTCTACAGGCTCTTCTAATTGTGCATACTACAGCTGCTAATGCTGAGGATACTGTAATTGCTGCAAAAGCTCCGTTAATCAATTGTCCCTCATGGTTGTGTACCACTGTTACATATGACGCTTTCCTCTTCTCCGTAGGCTCCATCGCAATTAATCTTGACCCAGCTCCTCGATTGGGTTTGTACATGAAGTATCAGATTCAGTTGTGAATGTAATATTGTCTTTTTCTGCACTTGCTTTAGATATCTCTGTAGTGACTGCTATAGCTTGAGAAAGTACTCTATTGCATGCACGTTGGTTGATGGTGTTGGTAAATCCATTCGTTGCATGCTTTCGAGATGAACCAGCATATGAAAGCAGGCATAGCCTGTGCTGGTTGTTCAATATTGGTTATTCTTACCAACCCCTCAAGTTTTTGTAAAAGCCACACTTCGATTCTTGAAATTTCACATCTATCAATGATAAAATCAAACGAAGACTTCTTCCATGCTCCCATGATCCACAGGCATGACAAAAGCAGATGTTCTACTGTTTCTTCCTCTTATCCGCAGTTTGGATATGTTGGGTTTTGAGTTAGCTTCCTTCTCCATAGGGCCCATTTGGTTGCCAATGCTCCAGTAGCAACTTCCCATATGAAAGACTGTTTGATAATTGTCTTTGTCTCTGTTTTTGTGTTTTTATTTTTAATTTTTGTTAAATATAAAAATAAAAATATATTTGGTAACTGTTTTTGATTTTGTTTTGTTTTCATTATATTGGAGACAAAGACAAAAAAAATAAGAACAAAAAATTTTTGTTCCAAGAAACACACGAAACAGAAACATGCACTTTTGTTTTCATTATATTGGAGACAAAGACAAAAACATAAGAACAAAAATTTTTTGTTCTAAGAAACACGCAAAATAGTAACAGGCTCTAATAAGGATTAATGAGATCCGGGTTTCGAATTCCTTTACCAGCTCTTTTTTTCGTGAATGTATTTAAACACACCCATCTCTCTCCTGTCCATCGCTAACTCTCCGTCGCTACCTCACTCTCTCCATTTTCTCACCTTCACCCACGATTTCTCCTCTTCTCTCTCTCACCGACGGCAGGTAAGCCCCTTCTCTTTATCTCTGTTTCTCCCTCTCTCATCTTATCTCCTCACTCTCTCTCTATGCATATATGCACAGATCTGTGTGTTGCGTGTGATTGGTGTGTTCTGTGTGCTGAATGTGTGTGTGTGTGTGTGTTCTGTGTGGTGGGTGTGTGTGCGTTGTGTTCTATGGGTGGATATTTGTTGTAATACTTGATAGGAATAACGTGAGACAAGTAACATAGTAGATGGGTGAAAGTATAATTTTCCCACCAACCATTGAAATACACACATAAGGCATATCACTCTCAATCATTATCTGAGATTGTCTCTGTTTATGTCCGAACACTCAGATGATTTTGTGTAGAATGATATCTATTTTCATTCAAAGTAGAAAAAATCATGCTTCTCCTCAAAGACCCCAAATCATACATACTGTTTGTGATGATCTCAATCAATGGGTTTGGGCAGATCTTCTGTGTTCATGCCCAAGCACTCTCCTATCTCTGCTCTGATGACATAGCCAACTCCAGTTACATAGATGACCGCACTTCCCTCTTGGACTCTTTATCATCCAGAGCAACCTCCATGGACTTCTACAATGAGACTTTCAATGATATCCATGGTCTCTTCCTCTGCAGAGGCAACGTTAACGCCTCTACTTGCCGGAATTGTGTCACTGGCGCCGGAGAAGAGATCATCAAGGGTATGCCAGCCGAATAGAACAATAATATGGTATGATTTTTGCATGATTCGCTACTCTGATATCAACTTTTTTGGAGAATTGCAATCTGGACAAGTAATGCTTTTTTATAATACCCAACATTTTAATTCAACGGAGGGTCCACAAAACTTTGCAGCTGTGAATTTCATATAGTTATTGATATTGGATAGTCTGCTTATGGAGAATCTGTACACTACAAATAGTTTACCTCTGCCTAATGGAGATCAGGTTACCACCACCACCACCACCACCAAGCACCCCTGCACCTCCAACCGATCAAGGTGAGTCAAAAGTTTTGATTTAGTTTTTTGTACTGTCCCAAATAAATTGGCATATAACCTATTATGACAAAGCACATGGAAAACCAGGCAAAGTGGGAATGAAAAGTGGTAAACTTGCTGGGAGGTGTAAAATAGTGTTAGATTTGTCTCCTATGAACTTTTTATATGGGGTTTGTATCTCTTTAAGCTCACAATTAGATCTATCACCTTTAGCTATACTTTTTAGAGCCTTAAACAGAGAGGTGTACTCTATATTTGGTTTTGATATTATGTTTACCTTAATGCAGTGTATTGTAGGAAATGGAGGATTGAAGAACACAACAAAAATAGCAGTCATCACAGCATCAACAACAGCAGGTGTAGCCGTGTAGCTGTGTGGATATTCGTTGTAACTGTGTGGATATTTACTAAAGAATTAAGCCCTGTTCTTTAAGAATTTCAGTTGAAATCCATACCAGCTTCGAAAATGCAAGGCAACAATTTGCAAGGATCAGTTAAAATAAAAAAGGAGGCCTCCATTCACCAACATTTAATAAAAAAGAGAAACTGTCACTGTCACTGTCACTGTCCAAGTTAGGTGGGAACCTACTTCTGATGACTTTCTGAAATTAAATGTTGACGGAGCCTCAATAGGAAGTACTGGTCTCTCTGGGGGTGGAATGGTTGTGAGGAATGCAAATGGGCAAATTGTAGTTGCAGCTGCTGCCTTTTATGGACCAGGTTCTAACATGAAGGTTGAATGCAGGGCCTTGTTTGATGGAGTAAATCTGATATTGAGGAATGGTTTGGAGGGACATCAAATTGTTATTGAATCTGATTCCCAGGTGTTGGTTCAGATAGTTTTAAGGAAAGCAGAGGTACCTTGGAGATTGAGAGGAGTTATGGAGCAGATTTGGAAAATTTTCAGTTCCAAATAAGGCACATTTACAGGGAGGCAAATGTGATTACTGACTTTATGGCTTCTTTTGCTGTTCAAAATGAATCCTTTTTTGAATTTTCATGTCAAAGTAGTCTGTCTTTGCCTGGTAGATTGCTTCTGCATCAGAATCAGTCTAGATTACCTGAGGCCAGAAGGAGGAGAGTGGTGTTTTGTAACTGGATAGAGCTGAGCTGCTGCATTGGTCTGTTCTGCTGCTCTAGACTGCATTGGAACTGAGGTGCTAAGCTAAAACTGCAGTAACTGGATTGGATAGGGCAGGGGCTGTGCTGAGCTGAAGGGACAAAACACAGCTGCTGTCTAGGATTTGTTGTGAATTTTAACAAATTTTTTGTTTGTTCTTTGCACAATTACTGTTTGATTTGTTAAAACAGTTACTATTTTCTTAACAGTTTCTGTTTTTTGATTCTTGTAATTTGTTGGTTTCAATAAATAAAATTCTCCTTTTTAAAAAAAAAAAATTGTCAGCATGCAGGTTATGGTTGCTCTAGCCATGGATTTGGATAGCTGGCAGCTGGACTGTTTTGATTAGTTTTTGGTTTTAATCATTTTTTAAGGATTAAAGCCAACTCCTTTGTAAATAGAATTTTTGAATTCTTTTGCTTCTTGTAAGTCCTTTGTAACACATGATTGTAAATCATTTTTCATGAAATAAAGAGTTAATTTGTTTGAAAACAAAAAATGAGATATTATAAAACATATTTAAGATAAAATTTGAGGTAGTTATTAAACATATTTTCTGTTTTTATTCTCATAATTTGATAGACAAAAATGACTACCAAACATGTTTTCTGCTTTAGTGTTTACCACAAAACAGGGATAATTTTTTGTCTCTGTTTTTAGTTTTTTGAAGACACAAAAACAAAAACGTTACTAAACGACATCTGAATTTTTGTGGGGATCTTTAAGCCCCAAATCATTTTCCATAGGACTTTAGGGGTTTGAAAAGTTGAGCTTTGTAGTTGTGATGGTCTGAGTTGTGATGGTCTGGGAGGGACTTGACTGTCGTTGAAGCAGTGGGAAAGTGGTTACATGAGCAATATAGAGGAATTTGATTAGAGGAAATTGTTATTTTTTTAAATTTAATTAAGAAAATAAGAAGTAAAAGTTTATCAAATCCTCTCATCCACAAATTGGTTATATAGAGAATCTATTCCTAATTTATATTGAACATGTCACAAAATTTTTGAAATATTAACCTAGATGAGAGGGTTTAGATAACTTGTGATTTTGGCAAAGGGCTAACGCCTAAAGGCATCTCATAAAGATCTCTTGTGCAAAGTGCTCTAATTTGCTCCAACTTTCTGTTGAAAACCACATGCATATTCAACATAGCTTCGACTCAACTAATAAGTAATACAGTTGAAGTAAGGTTTGGCATAGTGAAAGACTAAACATTTACAGTTGGCAAAAGCAGAGCCAATGCATTTGTACCTTCAATTGGTTCACAAAAGTAAAAGCTGAGGGAGTAGTACGGTATGAGTAGTAAATTTAGACGTATTGAGTTTAAATTTTGATAATTCTTTAAGGTCATGTCATGAGAGATTTATTCTTCATAAATACTCTAATTCCGATGTATAAATTGGACCAAATATTTCTGACTGTCGAACAAAAAAAAAAAGAAGTAAAAGCTGAGCAATCCTCTTAAGTGTTACATTTTATAGAAGCGAAGAATATTTCAATGGTAAGAATTTACTCTCGCTTGTATGTGTTTGTAGGTTTTGCACGACTCATCTACACTTAAAATATAAAAAAAGCTTAAATTTTTTTTTTTAGTTTTTCTTTTATTCGAGTTTTTTTGGGAAGTATTTTTTTTTATTAGAGTTAGGATAGAACCATGATATTAAAAAATAAATTTTTCATACCATACCGGAAATAATTTGAGGTAATAAATTTATTTTAATTTATTTGTAGTTATTGATCATATCATCATAAAATATAATAAAATATATTTTTTTACATATATTATATTTTTATTGAACAAAAATAAGTTCGATTACGTGACAATAGTGGGATCTTTAAAGTTGACAAGGTGATCATTTTGGGGAAGAAAAGAAATAATGAAGGGGGGACATAACGTCCTCGTCATTTTATATCTGCCTTACGTGAGAAGATAAGAACATTATCTCGTTGTCTTGTACATACACTTTTGATTGAGGAATTCATTTCGCAATCACGGATTCAGAAAACAAAGGAACACTCCAAAAGGTTTTCATTTTCTCAGAACACTTCTGCTTCCACACCACGCTACAACAAAGGAGGTGTAAATCACACAAACAGTCAAATTGTTGTTTACTACCCACTCTTTTTTTTTTTTTTTATGGTTTAATGGTAAAAGGGTGTTTACATCAGTTTATTTATACTTCAAATCTCTTATCTGATCCGGTTAAAGTCAGACGTTGAAATTAAAGTATTTATGAGTGATAAATTCCTTATAATTTGACTTCAAATAATTATTAAAATTTAAATTTAAGATGTCTGAATTTACAATTCGTCTCTATTATCAGTTCAACTGCCTTTTAGATTATTTAGTACCCACTCTATCATATTTCAAACCTCCCTCTCAACCGAAAGTAGCACAAGCAATGCTCACTGACCTTACAGTGAAGGCACTGTTGACCCACACAAAAAGTCAAGAGAATGACTGGTGTACCGAGTTCGATATTGTATTCCAAGTTAATACAAGTAAAGGTATAATTATTTATCCGTAGAGGTGGTTCAACAGTTAAACATGATTTTTAGTAACTCGAAGGTTCTAGGTTCAAATGAAAGTGTGATTATTAATAAAAATTACAATACTTGTAAAGAGTGGTAAATTAAATTCAATAAGGAATATAAAATACAATGCAATTCACACACGATGAGCACGTTATTGTGTTATCGCATCTAAGAACTTTATATTGGACATGAAAAAGAATATAAGCTCTAGATAACAATATGTCGATGAAGTCTTTTGATCTGTTATGTAAGTACGATATATCGAACTACCTACATGCAATGCTTGCATTTTATTATCCTTTCCCTCTTTATTCCTATAAGTTAATTTAAACTTTTTTAAAACAAAATAAGTAAAATAAATGGTATCAAAGTAGTTTGATCTGTATATGAAGTCATGAAATGTTGAAAGTTAAAACACATGTATGCTTGTTTTTTGTTTTGTTTTGTTTTGTTTTCTTTTATTTACTGCAATAAATAACATTAAAATTATTTTAAGAAGACAAAAAATTCTAATGTGTAGTATCAAAGCTTTTATAGGCAAATTAATTCTAATATTTTTTTGCAATGAATCTGGGATTGTAATCTTTCCCAAAGCCAAACCGCCTCTATCTATGGCGTATGGTTAAATACTCGACTGACTCGACTCAGATTTTGCGCTGCATGTGAATTTCAACTGATACTAGCAGTCGTGTCTGTTCGCTCTCTCTCTCTCTCTCTCGTGATCCCTGTAAATGTAGCAGGATAAAACAACCCCAAAGCTCCATTCCCACCCAGAGAACCAAACATGAAATTCTTCTCTCTACATTTCATTGTGACTCTTCTTCTCCTCCAATTGCCCTTGTATTGTTCTAGTTACCTTGACTACGGAAATGCATTATCGAAATCCATACTGTTCTTCGAAGGGCAGCGCTCTGGGAACTTACCACAGGACCAGAAGATGACCTGGAGAGCCACTTCGGGTCTTGGCGATGGGTGGATGGTTAATAAGGACTTGACCGGCGGTTACTATGACGCCGGCGATAACATTAAGTTTGGGTTTCCGATGGCGTTCACCACCACAATGTTGGCTTGGAGTGTGGTTGAGTTCGGCGATAACATGCCGGCCGGCGAGAAGAGGAATGCGTTGGTCGCAATTCGATGGGCTACGGATTATCTCCTCAAGACCGTTTCTCAACCCGACCGGATTTTTGTCCAGGTAAAGTAACTATACTCTGATAGTGGTGTTAGTGCAATTTTAGAGGTGGGAGTGAGGGTAATTTAGTAAATTGATAATGTGACACAGTTAGTTTTTTGGGAATCAATTTTATAGATTATTTTCATTTATTTCTTAATCATAATATTTTTATCTTTTCTTTTAAATTATGGTTATTAAAGTGAGATCCACTTCGATACATATTTCTTCTTGACAAATTATCAATCATACATCCTAGTCGGATTGATTTTAAGATTCATTTCTTGTAGTAAATATTTCTTTACGGTGATAAAAGCATTTGAGCCGGCGCTTGTAAATGGAGATATAAAACTAGTTAAATTATGGGCCCCTCATTTAGTTAATTAAAACTAAAATTCATCTTCAACAGATACTTTTTATATTATGTAAAATATATTTTTGCTACAGTGACACTCTAAATATAGACTATCACTGTAGCAATATGTAAACATTTATATATATTATTTTCTATCTTTTCCTCTCCTTTATTCATTTCTCTCCCTTTCTTTCTTTCACTATTCTAAAAAAAAAATAATACAAAAGGAATGAAAAATAATATTTAAAATGAGTAATTAAAAATATAGAAAATCTGTTGGAATGTGTATTGAAAAAATGAATAACTAAAATAAAAAATATTACTTTTTGAATAGGTAAAATGCATTTCGTTATTAAAGTTGCTCTAATAGGTGATTTTTTAAGATAAAAATAGAAAAAATGTGTATTAGAAAAGATCTTAGTCCATTTTCATTTGTACAAGGACAAAATTTGAACTTGCGTTTTTCATTATAAAAATATGTTTGAAAAACTTTCACTAATAAAATTAATTGAGTTTTTCTAATTGGTCAATGTTAATAATCCTAACAAAGAGGTCACGGGATTTGTTTCTATTCTTTCTATGGGTTTGTGATTTACTGACACTTTATTGTAATTGTGATATATAATATTAATAATAGTAATCAATCGTTGCATATTAAATAGAATTTTTGATAATATTGAAAAACAAAAATTTAAGTCACATTTTTTGTAATAATAATAATATTTTAGAAGATAAGTTAGAAATAAAAAAATTGTATTTAAATATTCAGAATAATTTGAGAAAAAGCTCGATTCTTTTCTTTTTTTTGTGGTTTATGGCTCTTGGAGAAAGAAGGGATCTGGGTCCCACGGGTTTGTCTGTATTAACACTTTGGGGCCCCACAATCTCTGTCCACAAAACTAATGTTAGAAATATACTACGCGAAGCCATCTTTTCTATAGTTAGGAGACCTAATCCACTGGGGTCTAATTAATTAATGAGTTTTGATGCAAATAGTACTATGTACATATTAAACAAGGATGAAGTACATTTGGTTTTGTGGTTGAGGTTGGCCTTTGAGAACTCAAATATTTTATATTCTATTTTTTTTCATACCTCATAAGAGGTAGTTATTTTTATTCCTCATGGACATGTTTTAACTTAACTTAAACAACGGTGGTAGTCGAGTTTGAAAGAATAGTTGACTTAGGTCTAGAAATTACGTAGCAAAAAAACAAGAAGAAGGTTAATTACACTTTGTAGTTAAAAAATTTAAAATTTTTTACTTTACATTCTTAAATATTAGTTTTTTAACATTGCACCTTTAATTTATTAAAATTATTATAATATGACCTTTCTGTTTTAGCTTCCGTAGCCCATTCAATCAACGTTAATGTGATAGTTTTTGACGAAATGAGCAGCGGGAGCGAAAAAAAGAGATACGTTATAATATTTTTAACACATTAAAAATAAAATGTCAAACTCCTAAACTGAGAGGTATAAAGTAAAAGTTCTTAAATTTTTGAGGTACAAAATGCGATTCGCCCTATTAAAAAATCTGAAAATTTGAGATTAAGTTTCAGATGCACGTGAGTGATCCAACTTGGTCATTTGTTGGTCAACAAAGTTTAGTCTTTCCCTAGTTGACTATAATCCAAATTAGTTCTTACTTTGATGCGTCCAATGATTAACCCGAGGGCAAAGTACATATTTTATCCATTTATTTTTAAGAATTTAAATACAACTTCCTCATAATTTGGACCAAATTCGACATCATTAATAATTTTGTTTAACCTAACGTATTTAGATCCACTTCACTCTTTTACTCTTTTTTATCTCCGATTTTCTTATATCTACCGTTAATGGATGAGAGGCCCCACTTATACAATTGGTTCAACTTTAATTCACAATGGGTTTCTATACTGCTGTATTTATTATAATATTTCATATTTTTTTCTCTCAAAAATAAACGAATATCTTTCTCTCCCTTTCTTTTCTATACTTGGACTAGACTTCTTAAATTCTACATATTTTTTTAGGAAGAGAAATATTAAAAAATTAAATAAAAGATAAAGGGTGTTTTGTTGTCTTTTTATATTAAATTGTTAACTCCATTGACTGTTATTATCTTATCTTCCCTATATAGTTGAGATTAAGACTTTATTGAATTGAGTTAAGTAATTATTTTTTATTCTTTAGTTCTAAAATATGGGGGATCGTGTGGAAATTGTTTAAAGCGTAGGGATGTATAAAGTATTTTCGAGTCAAATTATAAGAAAGTAAACTTTAATTTGCCCTTAACCCAAATGGGTAAACAAGTGAGGGGGTGGGTGAGGCCAGGATTTTTGTTTATCCCGGACTAAAATAAGCATTCATACAACTAACACAATATAAATATAAATTCATAAACATATATATAATAATACAAATGTAAGTTCATAAACTTTTAGTTGATACGATCAGACATTTTCTGTAAGCAGACTAAACTTCCAAGTACATCAACTCTTTTGGTCGGGAAAAATCAATACAGAGACCTTATTGACTATATCAGAAATATTATCTTGGTACAGTTTTTATCATTGACAACAAGCCATATTCAAATAATCAGTGAAAAAAACAGAAGAAACAACTAGGGGTCATAACAAACAACAGAAAAAATTACAGTATAAAAAGCTTGTTACAAGTGATGAAACTTCTTGTACAAACAGAAATCTCAATGTAATATGGAAAGCAAACAGAAAATACAAGCATAACAATGACTTTCTTAATAATGCACCTTCCATAATCATCCATTTTAAGACACCAAAAAGCGACCCAAACTGAAATGGGTCGATCACAAACTCTCACTGGAGTGTTAATCGAACACCTCAGAAGTGACATCAAAAGTTGAAAACATCCCAAACTAAAATGGGTCAATCACAAACTCCATCTAGAGTGTTAATCGAACACCACTGAAGTGGAATTCAGCGTTGAAAACATCCCAAAGGCTCCTAATGAAGAGATAGTACAGGCCACAAAAGACACCAAAAAATGACCCAAACTGAAATGGGTCAATCAGAAACTCCCTTTGGAGTGTTAATCCACACCTCTAAAGTGGAATCAAGAGTTGAAAACATTCCAAAGGCTCCGAGTGAAGAAATTGTAATTCGGCATAAAGAATTTAAGAAAATATTCAAAAAATCGAAATTTCATTGAGATGATCTCAATTTATTTTTTCAAAAACCATCATAACTACCGGGGCATCAAGTCGACTCAAGCAAGGGCGTTGGTCGTTGACATTAGAACACCAGCAGTCTCCGGATTACTACTGTTGGGAAAGGAGAGTCTTGTGGACAGATTAGTTCCATCAACTAAAAAGTTGGCAAATGTATGCTGGGATGGGTTGGGTTGACTCTAATAATTTTTTTTTTTTTTACCTTGAGCTTCAGCCCACTAACAGCTCTGTCCTGGGGGGGGGGGGGGGGGGGGGGGTTCAATCGAAATCATTCTAAAAGATTACTAAGCTATAATATATTTCCTTTCTCTCTGATTTGATCTCCCCTAGTTAGCTGAAAAGGAAAAATAGTCCAATGATTTAGAAGTTCCATGAGATAGGAATCTGAAATGAACTACTGCACTTGCAAACCTAGGCTAAAAGCGGCTTGATGAAAGGGGGATTGATTAGGTGCTTCTTTAAGTGCATCAGTAGTCTAAGTCGTACTACTTCCCAAGACTACCTAGAGTGCTGCTTTTAGCCTGTCAGTCCATGGTGGTCCATGGACTTAATGAGCAGTAATCAACATAAATGCCTTCTGCACTTAATTTTCTATCATATATTACTGGACTTCTGTACCTTTAGGTTCTTTTTTCTTGGTCAATGTTAAATGAGTTTTTATTGAAGGAACCAATGCACCAATGTGATTTTATGTTAAGAGCTCAATGACCAATGATATCCTTTAAATATTGTTATCGTTTACATTTCATAGGTTGGTGATCCAGTTATAGACCATAACTGCTGGGAAAGACCAGAAGACATGGACACAGCTAGGACTGTTTATACAGTTGAAGCGCCAAATCCGGCCTCGGATGTCGCCGGTGAGACTGCTGCAGCTCTTGCAGCTTCTTCCATGGCGTTTCGATCGTCCGATGCCGGATATTCCGAGACACTATTACGAACTGCCACTAGGGTATTTGATTTTGCAGATACTTACCGGGGCGCTTATAGCGATAACACAGACATTAGGGATGGTGTGTGCCCATTTTACTGTGATTTTGATGGATATCAGGCAAGAATTCCTCTCTTCTATTTATCACCCATCATTATAAAACACTAGTTCCAATGAATTGACTAATATCTGCCTTGTAATGTGTAACACTACAATAAATATTCTTGATTTTGTGAGACCCCTCTTGTTGGGATTTTGGTCCATCCATTGAATGTTGCCATTTTATACTTTTATTTATTCATTTTCTAAGTAATTAATTATTGGGCAGGATGAGTTGCTGTGGGGAGCAGCATGGCTTGGAAGGGCCTCTCAGAATGATTCTTACCTCAATTACATTCAAAACAATGGTAAAACACTCGGTGCTGATGACAATATCAATGAATTTGGATGGGACAATAAGCATGCTGGCCTAAACGTTCTTGTTTCCAAGGTTTGACAAAAGCCCACAAATTATCAAGATATGTTGATTTTACAAACATTTTTTACCATCTATAATGCTATACAAACAGAAATTCCATCCATTTCATTTCATTCCATGATGTCCCCGGGATTAACATGAGTATCGATGCAGGAAGTCTTGGAAGGCAGCATGTACTCACTCCAATCTTACAAAGCATCAGCAGATAGCTTCATGTGCTCACTCATACCTGAATCCTCGTCGTCCCACATAGAGTACACCCCAGGAGGGCTCATATACAAGCCAGGGGGAAGCAATTTGCAGCACGCCACGACAATCACTTTCCTCTTGCTTGTTTATGCGAATTACCTAGACCGATCATCAGGGACTGTCAATTGTGGAACTATCAGTGTTGGTCCAGCGTTGCTCCGGCAGAAGGCCAAGAGGCAGGTTGATTACATTCTAGGGGAAAATCCCAAGGGAATGTCATACATGGTTGGGTATAGTAACTATTATCCACAACGTATTCATCATCGTGGTTCATCGCTTCCTTCCATTAAGGATCATCCTGATGTTATCGCGTGCAAGGAAGGATCGGTTTATTTCAACTCATCAAACCCTAATCCCAACGTGTTAGTCGGGGCTGTGGTGGGTGGACCTGGGGAAGATGATGCTTATGAGGATGATCGAGCTGATTTTCGAAAATCTGAGCCCACAACCTACATCAATGCACCATTTGTGGGTGCATTGGCATATTTTGTTGCTAACCCTAATCCAAGTTAGCACACATCATTTTGATTTTTAGATAATTTGTCAAGGAGGACATTCATGATTAGAGAAAGAAGTCTCTCATCTTGTGCTAGGCAAAGAGGGAAGAGGCCAGTTATTGTGTTGTAGGAAAAGAATACAGTCTCAATGTCTTGTTGTGACATTTCATAAAATGGATAGAAAAATGAAAATTCAATACCTTTGGTGAGCTTAATTGTCTTTATCTAAATACATGCATTGACCTTCTTTTTATGACGGTGGTTTCTAATGCTGAGATAAGCGTCACAAGTTTGAGTTACAAAAATAGTCTCTCTCCATACATAGAATAAAATTATATAAATTTAACTTTTTCCGAAATTCTATAATGGCGGGCATATATAGTTTTATGTCTAACCAACATGCCCTCGTGGTAGGTAAAAACTCAAAAAGTCTTACCTGTCAACGAGTAGGTGGATTTTAGTTCACCTTCTCCATATAAACACTTAATCCACCATATCCGAATCCTCCTGTGGCTGAGTAAATTGGACTATTTTAAGAAGTAAACACTTTAGGTTTACAAAGTTCAAAATCAAAGATACTGTTTACAAATTTTTTTTTATGCATTTTTGTTTTTATTCTTTAAGTACTTTTCTTAAAATTGTGTTTCTTTTGCATGTTATTTTTTATTTGTCCAAATTTATTCTCTTCCTCTTGGACGTAAGTTAATCTGAACATCTCTACCCGTTGAACCCAAAAAAAAATTCCCTTCCTCCAAGTTTAATCATATACACCTAGTATCAAATTTAAATTGATATGTATAAGTGCATTTCCTGTTTAAATTGATATACGCTAAAATAAATTTTCTTGTATGTTGGTATATTAAAAATATACTAAGATTTGTATTGAAACTTATACTATAGAGTGATCAGATATGTTCTTGACAAATCATTTTTAAGCATTCAAAGCTTTATTTTTACTGTTAATAAGACCTTATTTCAATTGCATATTGATGGGAATTTAGACGACTCAACAGTCGTAAATCGACACGTGGATCATTGTAACTGTTATGAAGTGCAAAGGGCCCTTGGAGAAGGCGCCGAAAAATTAAAGTCTTAGGGAGGCCGAGGACACCCATCAGGGCTGAGTATTAAAGGAGATATGACAGCTTATTAAATATAATTTTGAGTAGTTACAAGCCATTAAATGCGCATCCAAGTCCTTGAAAAGTGTGAGGACAATCATCATTACAAGACATTAATTACCATGACGTCGACACATTATCTTTGGTGAAACCCAAGGGGGTGCTTAGTCTCGAATAATGAACGCTCGAGCGTAAGTGTTAAGTACCAAGCAATGGTATTTAATAATCGAGAATAGGGTCATAAAGGCTCGGCATGTCTCGAGAAAGGATTTGATGGGATAGCACTCATTGTGCATAGATACGTGTGCGCACCATTAAATATTGAGATATGACTCAAATGTTGTCCGATCATTGTTAGCCTAAGTATAAATATCTCTCAGAAAATTGAACAAAGGTACGCAATTTAAATTCAAAAAATACACTGTGCTAATGACTCCCATACCGACTAACTTTAACTACGGTGGGAATTAGTCGAGTGTTCACTTAACCCATTTCTTAATCTTTTGATTGTTTCAAATTTATCATGTAAAGAATTGCTATTTTAAATTATTACAAAAATTCATCCGTACATGTATCATAAAGAATTCAAAAAAGTGCTCCAAATACAATATCGGAAAGTACCGCATGTGGAACCAGCGGCCCCTCAAGTAATTAATTGGAGCTTAACCCTAATTGATCGACATTTCCTGTGGAAGGTGTGACATTGATTTTATGTGCCAACCACCAGTATTTATTTGCACTTGTAGAAAAACAAGCTTGAGAATTGCCAATCACCCACCATATTGATTGGTCTCGCGGGCCCCGGCACCGCCGTGTCCGTGTTATATGGGTACATTATATTTTTCTGATCATCTTTCCCAATTGGTTCGCTTTCTGGTGGGCACCCGTGTTCCATAAATGTCATGTTGAACACTGTTTATGGAAAAACGCGTGGGAGTTGTGTATACCAATCACAAGCACCGGAGGTTTGCCGTTGGCAAAATGACTATCATTACATCTGTCAAAATGCAATACAACATAATTAATTAATATTGACATAGAATTAAACGAGTTTGAGTGAAGTGGGATGAATTGATAGATTTACTAAACATGTTTAATAAATGAATCGCATTCGAATGAGATATGCCAATCGTTTATTACCCTTTTTTAGTCAGAATAATGTACGTAGTTTAATCATTAGGTTAGATAAAAAAAGTTTAATAATTATTTATTTATAATAAAAAAAAAATTATTAAATGAGTTAAATAAGTCATGTCGTGTAGCCCGTTTAATAAACGAATCAAATTCGATTTATAAATTTTTACCATTTAATTAAACAAATCTTGTACGTGTTGAACGACTTTTTACATGACCCGCTTAATCAAGTACAGTTAATACCCTTAGCCACTGCTTCGCTATTAGACTTTAAAATCATAGATTCGAATCTCGTTGTCTCCACCCTCTAATAGTGTTTGACAAAAAATTAAAAAGCTCTAGCACACCACTATCTCTCAAATTTGGCTTCGTTTTTAGTCTCTGGGGTGTCAATTTTACCCAACCGACATTAATGGGTATGAAAAGATTAAACAAAAATTAAAAAATGATATTATCAATTATTACTAGTAATCGATAAATTGAAATAGTATTAGACACAATAATTTATTAAATTGATATTCTAAAAAAATAGCATATAATCAAGATTTATACAATCTGACGCCAAAAATTTTAAAACAAAGTCTTTGTTGAGTTGAATATATCCTAAAAAGACAGATGAACTCTAATATATAAGACCGAGAATAGCTTGAAGGGTCTAATGAGGCCGGGCCGGCCTGTACACAAACCCATTAAAGCCAAATGTAGGATGGATTGGATCTGGTTGATATAAAATATAGAAATTTAGAGGCCGGTCCTCCTATATGGACTTATTTGAAAATAAGTTTGGCAAAAAAATTTATTTGGTTTTAAGTCTTTTTTATATGAAATATATGTATTTTGATAGTTATATATGGAAGTTTGATGTACGAATAAATAGATATATTAAGTGAAATTCAGATCACAAGATTTCTTTAACAATTCAAATTTAATAGTAACATGATATAAGCATAGGGTGACACTATCACATGACGTTATATTATCAATATTCTAACTAACATATAGTAACATGATATAAAATCATCAAACTTATTGAATATATAACAATTACCAAAAATTATGTGCAAAAGTAACATGAACAGTACTACCCAATCAGCTGATGTAAATATAGTAGCATCAGCTTAGTAACATTATAATAGAATTATAATGTTATGTATAATGTAATGATCATGCCATAAAATTGTAATGAGCATTGTATAAATTTAAATTGTGAAAATAGTTATTTTCTATGTATGAATAAAATATATTAAATCTCAGGAATAACTCAATTGATAATTGAGCCGAACTGTAAATTCAAATGTTTTGAATTTAAATTTTGATAATTCTTTGGGGTCAGATAATAAATGATTTATCTCTCATAAATATTTTAGTCTCGTCGTAGATTTGTCTATACTGGGGAAGGAATTAGTCGAGGTGAACGTAAGTTGGCCTCGACATATTTAACCATTAAATCAAAAAAAAAAAAATATACAAAAAGCCTAATCCTTCTCATATACCACAAATAAGAGGAAAATCATTCAAGGATTTTTTTTTTTTTTTGAGTATTGTTACTATGACTTAAAAAAATAATCTAATTTACTTATCTAATAACATGACAATGATATCGTCTAATGTTGTTATTATGAATGTAACTTTTAACCTATTCATTTGGACGTCACTTGACAGATTATTATGTTAACAAATTAAGTTAGATTTTTAGATTTTAATAGCATTACTCACTTTCTTTCGGATTGTATAGCATTCTCTTATATATATATGTCATCCACGTGGCAACATAGAATTGGTGGAGGCATGACAGCCTCAAATGAGACATCTTTGAAAATACACACTAGACAATTGTATATGCAGTACTTGGTGAGAAAGCGTGTGTGGCAAAGAGAAACAGAGTTTGTGAGAGTAGACAAGATTAGTAACTCTTTGGACTGCTGCTATCTGCTATCTGTCTGTGTAGAGCAAAACAAACCATGGCCTCAGCATCTCTCCTCAAGTCATCTCCCGTTCTTGACAAGTCCGAGTGGGTAAAGGGTCAGAGCCTTCGCCAACCTTCCGTCTCCATCGTCCACTGCCACCCCACCACCACCACCACCTCATCTCTCAGCGTGCGAGCTGCTTCCTCCTATGCCGATGAACTTGTCAAGACTGCGATATGCTCAAATCTTTTCAATGTCTATTAACATCGATTAGCATGTAATTATATTTATGAGTTAATAGCATTTTTTATCCTTAAAATATGTATTTTTTTTTTGGTGTATCAATTTTATTAATTTAACTTTTAAAATATTTAATTTGTAATTGAGTGTTAGTTACGTGATACTATCTAAAAAATTTTTTAGACAGAATGGCATGTGATGCCACATTTTGGCCAAAGTTAATAGGATTAATCTAATTAGGTGGTTCTATTGCATGGGTATAGAAAACTGAGGCATCACCAGGACAAGGAATTTTGGCCATGGACGAGTCGAACGCAACTTGTGGAAAGCGTCTGGCGTCGATTGGGCTCGAGAACACCGAGGCGAACCGTCAAGCTTACCGGACTCTTCTGATCACAGTTCCTGGGCTCGGCCAATACATCTCCAGTGCTATCCTCTTTGAGGAGACTCTCTACCAATCCACCACCGATGGCAAGAAAATGGTTGATGTGCTTGTTGAGCAAGGCATTGTCCCTGGTGTCAAAGTCGACAAGGTACGCCACTGCCTTATTTAGGGACATATGCTTGTATTGGTGATTTTGTAGTTTAATGTGTTGGTATGGCTGACAATCCAACTGTGTCGTTTGTGTTCGTGTTCGTGTTCGTGTTCGGATTGTGCTATTTCATATTTGAGTCAATTGCTAAAATAGTAACTTAGTATATATGTTTTATAAATACTGTCAGTCAAACAGTAACCTGATCTATTTATTAATAACGATATTTTCGGGTTCTCGCATAAACCCATAATTGAATTCAGAATTATGCTTGTATTGTTTCGTGTGTGTATGCTTGAGTGACAATTGAATCACATTGTTCATGTACAAATCATGTTATTTTGGATTTGTGTCGACCGATAATTCGACATAACCTATTTGTTCATTTCATGTCTGGTTAGCATTTAGTTTCGAACATTATATATATATAAGAGTAAACACTGACATGTGGATTTTGACCATGGGTACAACTGGGTTTGGTGCCACTAGCTGGTTCAAATGATGAGTCCTGGTGCCAAGGCTTGATGGTCTTGCTTCCCGTTCTGCTGCTTACTACCAACAGGGTGCTCGTTTTGCCAAATGGTATATGATTCTCTATCGCTTTGTCTCTTTTTTTTTTCCATACAAAATTAGATTTTTGTATTCCAAATCCAATTGCATTTGACATTTACCTATTCTTTTTGATCAATCAGGCGTACCGTTGTGAGCATTCCTAATGGCCCGTCTGCTTTGGCTGTCTAAGAAGCTGCCTGGGGTCTTGCTCGTTATGCTAGCATCTCTCAAGTGAAAAAAAAAAAAAGTAATATTATTGGGACTTAATTTACTGACCTAATTTACTATGATATTTGGATTGATTGTGGAGATCATCAAACATTGGAACTTGGTGTTGATCCAATGATTCTATTGAAGTCACATCATTATGTTAAAAAATTATATCAAATTTTAGGTTTAAATAATATTACTCAAAATAAACACTATCCTATTGAATTCGGAATAGTATCAAAAGTTATGACTATTTTATATATAATCGAGTATAACCTTTTAAACTCGTTTTTCTAATCAAACTTAAAAAATTATTCAAATTTAATTTATTTAGAACATGAGTCGAGTTGAAACCAAATTTTATTTGACCTGAGCCGAGTAAGTCGTCTCAATTAGCGACCCCATCGAAAAATAATGCTTCAGCACCTTATTTTGACTTTATTTTATTTTTTTGCAGGATAATGGGTTGGTCCCAATTGTAGAGCCAGAAATCTTGCTTGATAGTGAGCATGGCATTGAAAGGACTTTCGAAATTGCCCAGAAAGTTTGGGCTGAGGTCTTCTTCTACCTTGCTGAAAACAATGTCATGTTTGAAGGAATACTCCTCAAGCCAGGCATGGTTACTCCTGGAGCCGAATGCAAGGACAAGGCCACACCTCAGCAGGTTGCAGAATACACTCTCAAGCTCCTCGGCCGGAGAAGCCCCCCCAGCCGTCCCTGGAATCATGGCAAGTCCCATCACAATTCCCTTAGAAATATTTCGTTTCAGTGCATAATTTAATCATCGTAATTAGAAAAACTAAAACATTTAAGAGACAGATGAAAATAGAGGAAAAAATTGGCTGAAAGATGTTGAAATCTCCTAAAACACCTTGAAATATAAAAAAACATTTTGATATTCAATCACTAATTTGTTTTTGTTTCCGTTGAAACCGATCTATGTGTCGTAGCGTTTTGGCGGCAACAAAATGAAATTTTCAATCAATTGTTGTGGTAATATCTTGAAACTGATTTTGATTTGAGCAGTTTTTGTCTGGTGGACAACCCGAAGTGGAAGCAACCTTGAACTTGAATGCCATGAACCAGTCTCCCAATCCGTGGCATGTATCGTTCTCGTACGCTCGGGCCCTTCAGAACACCTGTCTGAAGACGTGGGGTGGCTGCCCGGAGAACGTGAAGGAAGCTCAGGAGGCTTTGCTCCTCAGGGCCAAGTCCAACTCTCTTGCTCAGCTTGGGAAGTACACTGTTGAGGGAGAGTCAGACGAAGCCAAGAAAGGAATGTTTGTCAAGGGCTACACCTACTAAGCCGTTGCATTTGAGTCTGCCGTAGAAAAAAAAAAAAAAAGATGATGATGATGATTTCAAGACTATTTTTGTTCTTTGCATTAATGTTAACCAAATAATAAGCTACTTTCTGATGAGATTAGTTAGTGTGTAGTAATGCAGTCTTATACTGAAGTGTTTCAATGGTTGTTGGGGATACAACCTTGAATCTATTTTGTTGTGATATTACACGTGAAAAATTCGTGTTGGACATAAAAGAAATGAAAGTTTCTCGATACATTACTAATGAGTTCATATTAACAAGCTTTTGGATGATTTGAATTCTAAATATGTATATTAGACATGTTAAATTGACATGCTTATCTTTCAACAAATAGTATCACGATGGTATTATTATTATTATTTTTTTGGTTCAACAGTAAGAGATGTTCGAATCAACTTACACGTACCTTGACTAATCCCCTTCTCGATCTAGTAAAATATAATCATCTACGCTAGGATTATGATATTCACAAGGGATGAATCTCTTATGATTTGGTTGTAAGAGATTATCAAAATTCGAATTTATGGCGTCTATGTTTACTAGCTATATCTTATCTATGTTATTACTTGAACTACCCCTTAAAATTATCAAGACGATATTGTCAAACTTTTCAACACGTGTTTTGCTAGTATTAATCAAATTTTTCTAAAGAAGAATGTGATGGACTATTAGAGTTCAACAAACTATATCACAATAAGTTAATCAAATATGGTGCTTGAAAGGTTTACTAAGGGTAATTTGTACTTGAATGTACGGTATAATATAAATAATTTTGAGAGGAATGTTGATGGTTATTGAATGAGTCTATTTGAAACCGTTAAATAAATTTATTGAAGTATGTTCTATTTTTTATATTATAAATGCTCCGCAAACCTTTGTTTCAATGGAACGATGAAGTGAGAATAATTAACCTTTGATACCTGTTATATGGTAAGTGGACTTGGGGTACCACCTTAACCACATGGCTCAGTTTCCTTTTCGGCGGATTTCGCCGAGTGAGATTGTAGCCATTGGAAGAAGAAAGTGGAAGAAGTTTTCCCACCACAACTGAACTCTGACTAGACAGCAATCAGTTATATCATCACACTTGTGGTTGATCTTCAAAGCAGCATCAGTACAAGGTCATTTGGATCTCTCTCTCTCTCTCTCTCTCTCACACACACACACACACACTGTATACTTTTTCTTCAATTTTCATCTTGATACATCATTCACACTTGTGGTTGATCTTCAAAGCAGCATCAGTACAAGGTCATTTGGATCTCTCTCTCTCTCACACACACACTATGTATACTTTTTCTTCAATTTTCATCTTGATACATCATTCACCACGGACATGCATTCAAGTGAAAATCACTATATACAAGTGTATCCCTTGCTCATTAATAATGAATAGTACCTAGAAGATAATTGAAGAGAATATGTACAGAAGTTGATTTGAATTTCATACAACACTACATATCCTTGAGAAGTGCCAAAAGAAACAATGAAGCATATAAATAGTGCATTATCTCTCTAATACGAGTTTTTCAAAAAACCAAGCAGACGTTGATGTCATCGTCGTTACTTATTGCCGCCGTCTAATAAAAATATAACAAATAAATTTCATATAATTCAATATTATCTGCCCATGTAATCTAATACCCACCCCCAAGTAAGATAGTGAGGTGCACTTTACCTAATTTGCTGTATTTATTGAATGTGTTGCTGATATAATATAACTATTACACTAAATATTTACTTATTATGGTTTCAGAGAGAGATCAGTTTACGATTGCACTAGATGGCATGTTAAATTGTCTGGTTGTTTGCCTCTTACAAGTCCATTAGCATAGAGTGGTCTAATTAAGATGAGTTACAAGAAGGATTGACTATAAATTCTAATACCTTTCCTAATTTCTAAGTTATATTTAATTTGGATTTAGATTTTTTCTATTACGCATTCTTTCAATTTCTTTTAATAGTAAATGAATTCAAATAAGATCCACTATTTATAAGTGGGGTTCTTGCCCCTCCATGATGAGTGATCACCACTACGCAAAATTGAACAAGAGTGTAATGAAAATAATTTAAATTAATTGACACCCGCCAGAAGATTTTTTCGATAGGAAAGTCATTTTAATCCAATCCATTCTTGGTGTCAAATAAAGACAAAAAAAAATATGTTAGTGACCTAGCACCACAAAACAGTATCCAAGGGCATGAAATCTCTCATTTTTTGGTCAGAATCTCTACAGTGATATTTCGGTAAGATTCTCCAAATACACGATGAAATGCAAACACAAACCTCAAGGAAGTGCAGCCTAATTTTGAAACCTACACAATTTATTTTAAAAAAAAAAACTACAATATGCAATTAATTATCAAAGCCATAGAAAGTGTCAATATAGAAATCAAACAATCCGACTTGGTTTTAGCAGAGTCGACTGATTTCCCATATACAGTACTGGGTGTGCTTGATTTTTCCTTTCTTTTCATCCTTCGGTTTGCACGAGAACATAACAATACACCTGAAACCGAACCTACTTCCTCAAAGGAGCTTACACAGAGACGATGAATAATCAATAATTTTTTTAACAGTAATGTTTCTGAATAGAGGGTTGCATTGCATGTCCGCTTTCAATGTCCTTTCCCTTCCATAATTGAACTGATGAAGCAACCTCCTAACAGGAGTTTGTTCAGTTAACGAAGGCAGTTAAAATAAGGTACCAAAATCCAACTGCAGGCAGTTGCAGTATCGAGCAGAAGTCAAGAAAAACAGCAGTCGTGCCACTAACAATTCCATTTTCCAAAGGAGGAAATGTCATTCTAGGTACACCGTTGGAGCAAAATCCCAGCTTCATCTAAGTAGCCTTCGGACTGAAAGAGTCAAACCTACACTATATAAAATGGAAGAAGTGCCTTAAGGAAGGTTGCAAGCTGTACTGGCAGTGCTATACAAACTTGTCGAAGAACATCTGCATTCAGATGACAGTAATACATGAGCAAGCCTCTTTGGAAAATCACAACATAGTGTTTTACTGTGCAAACAATGACTTGTTAGGGAAATTGATGGGTACATGCACACAAAATTATTCCTCCAGAGTTCCAGTGGAAAAGCAAAGGAAAGATCACAGGCTTATACAATAGAAATGAAGAAACTGAACCATTATAAAGTTTCACAAGTTTAATAGCCTCTCGATTCTATGCTTGTGTCCATCTCTATATTCAGTTGAAGCCCACATCAGCTTTTAGTTATACCAAGTGAGCTAGTGACTCTATATACTGGGTTAAGCAATATCTGAAAACCTTTATCATAATTGCAATAAAGAAGGAAGCACAAAACAAATGCACTTATAGAGGCAGGCAATCTAGAGATTAAAGGGAATGAAGATCAATTGTCAATGGACATCTAATCAACATACAAGGTGAAAATCTCCTTTCCTCCCCTGTCCACTCTCCCCCTTAAGCATCTGGCTCTGATTTTCTCTACTCAAACTGGCTCTAATTTTCAGCCAGAAGCAATTCTCAATTCCATATGGGTTCCATAATCATGTTCATTGCATCAACAAACACCCAGGATACACCACCGTATATTGAAATAGTGTCAATCCAGAAGAGTAAGTTAAACATGACAACGACTTTTGTCTTTTGACTTTAAAATCAGGATTAGATAATTCCTTCTACTGATTCACAATGGCTACTCTAACCAAGTATCTTTCATTGAGTAGAAATTGGAGGAAAAATTACTGACAACTCATCGAAATTTCCTCAGATTCAGATTAACAATAAAATCTTCTCAGAAACCATCAACCATATCCATATCAATACTTCTGCATATAGAACAAGAAGTGCAGAAACAAGAGAAGAATTAATAAGGAGCAATGGATATACAGAATATACCTCAATCACTTCTCAGTCTCTCTTTTAAAACGTCCATCTGGAACTGCACTTGAAGAGTCATGATTACTACCACCTAGAACATCCATTCCCTGTTCCTTTAATAAAACAGGAGGCATAATAATTTCCAAGTTATTTAGGCTGTAGCATCACATCCTTCGGTCTCAAAATACATAGAATCCCAATCAAAGATGAATACCCGGTAATTTGAAGCTTGCCCAGGTATCCGTTGAGGCCTAGCATTAAGATCAATCAATTTATTGTCCATGTTTCCATCACCATCAGTGTCAGTGTCCAGAACTGGAACAGAAGAAACCCTGTGATTTGGCTGGTTCTCTCTTGTGGTAAGCTTAAATGGCTGATTGGGTTCCCTCCTTGCAGCACCTGGATCACCAGGTTGCACTCCTATGTCTTCTAAACGGCCAGGTTTATCCCCTGGAAACTATAGAACAACAAGAAAGACGGAGTAAAATTGGGAGGCCTTTAGTGTAACGAACAAGAACCTGAACCAGCACTCCATAGTACAAGACCACAAACCTCCACTCTCTGCCTCAACAGCAGATATCTTCCATGTGTTCTTTTACCTCCAACATGAACAATCATATCACATTGCAGGCAAAGGGAACTCCCATCGATCTCACAGTAGAAGAAAGCTACATTTATGTGTTAAAGGAAAGAAGAGTGCTTAAGCACATGTTACCATCTTTGAAAACAAAACAATGGAGCAAAAGCTGCATACCAGGTGCATTTTCGCATATGTCACAACGAGGGACATCACTGGGGTCAGCAAGCCCAACGCGTACATGTCGACTTGCAAGCTTGTTACACATATGGACCTGCCACACCATTCTAGTCAAGATATTTTGGCTACACTGGATTCAATGAGAAGCAAGTATATAAGAAAAATTAAGAATGTGAACTCCCCAGGTCGGATCTTGGGAGGAACAGAAAGCATAACTAGCATCTGCTGCAATAATTTATTTGGCACCCGCACTGTATGATTTTCACAATTACTTCTCTTCAACAAGCAGCCTTACACGAGTACAATTTTAACTAGTTTACTTCATTTACAATTAGTATTGTAAAACAGCTGGTCTGCGCATTTTCATCCCTCTCACCCCGTCACCCGAGTTTTGGAATCCATATGTGGAAGAGAAAAACTCTAAATAACGATCACAAAGTGAACAATGCTTGAAATCAGTAATGCTAGACTTAGGGGTGTTAATTGAGCTGAATTCGAGCCTAATAGTTTCACTATTTACACATAAACGAGCCTAAAAAAATATTCAAGTTTGGCTTGTTTAACAGCCCTAGCTAGACTGATCAAATTTTGGAATCAAATTTAAAGCTCAAATAACATAGCAGTTGGCTTGGGCTTCTTTGATAAGTGTGATGTCATTTGGGCTCCAATAAAAATTATAAATAATCAACAACCATGTCATTTGGGTTTTAAATTTGATCCCAAAATTTGATCAGTATAACATTCCTTGGTTGAAATATAGACATTGGCGGAACTATGATAGGGCATGTGCATAGTATGTGAGGTCTAAAAAATTGCATGTTTCACCATTGAATTTTATGTAATTGTTTATTTTCTCCCCCAAACTTATAATATTTGTATTTGCTTCACCCCTTGAAATTTCTGGTACTGCCCCCTGAATATATATAGGGTGTGCATAGTCAAGGGAAACCCATGCCCTGAATGGCCATAACTGAAGTAATGATATCCAAAATCATGAACATGATACAATTAAGGTACAGAATCACATGATCATGTGAATCTCAAAGTGGCAATAAAAAAAAAGGATTATCACCTTTTACATCACTAACGAACAATCTATTTGGAAAAACTACATGTTTATTCTGAAATAGGCAAACCCAACATGTTTGCCAACTTCCTATTCACAAATTCAGGCAATACTAATTAGATCCATCCAAATTCTTCTCATCAATGAATTCAAGTAGAAAAACATCCAACCAACTTTCTAATTGTTATTCTAAAAAAACCCGAACAATTAACATCAAACATGTAAGAGACTAAAGCATTGGTGATATATAACGAATCTTAAATACCTTTTCATCACAGGACCGGCAAAGAGCGGCCTCGTCGGCGGCGCAGAAAAGGATCGCAGCTGCGCTCTCACACACGTCGCAAAGTGTTCTCATAATTCACTTTCACTTTCACTGCTCAATTTCTCTACCTCTTTCTCATTTTACCCTTCTTCGCTTCCACGAAGTCCTCATTCACCGCTCGATTCAACGACGATTGCAGAAGAGATTGGTCAATCAGAAACAACAGTAGTATATATAAGAACTATACTAAGAGAGAGAAGGGAACGAAACGAGAGCTTTTGAGTTTACTTTTATAATGGCGACGAAGCAAAGCGGTGAAGAAAGACGACGATTCTCTCTCTCTCTCTGTCTCTCAAGCTGGGTGGTAGAAGCAAAAGAAACGCACTGAAAATCTAAGCTTATATTTTACTCGCTGGTCTACATGGGATAATGTGTACCCGCGGGCCACCAAGAAAACGAGAAAATATCAAACGTATTGGTTATATTAAGTCACTTGGATCGAGTAATCACCGAAAGTCCCAATAGCATATAATAATTTTTTTTATTATTCTAATGTAGTATTAATTATTAGATGTGATAATTATTAAAAATTATTTTTTTATTAAACTATAATATCACGGTAATAATCTTTTGTCACATATTTACTAACAAAAGTTCAAAAGTATATAAGTTTACGTCTCTTTTTTTAATTGAACTCTAAACTACTAATCAACCTGTATAAGTTGAATGACAAGTTTGATTAATTTGTATATATATGTAATACTTTGAAAAGTATTGATACGCCTACCTCTCTTCTATTCAAAAAAAAAAAAAAAAAAAACGAAAGACTTGCCACTTTATTTAGAATTATATCTTCCATTATTTCATCTAACTTTCCACTTTATTAATAATTATCTGTTATTTATTTATTTTTTATTTTTTTATAATATGAAAATTGGTAAAGACAATAAATTTATATCCAATATCAGTCTCAGGGTAATTTTTTTTTATGTCAGACATTATTATAAAAAAAACAATAATAAAACTCAAATTCGTGACCTTAAACGGGGCAGCTAGTTTAAATTAGATAAACTGATCAATCCTGTCCGGGGGGCCGTGGCTGTTTGCGTTGTTGGATGGGGTCCACAAAAAACAATAGCCAAAGAAAGAAAAACAGATTATAGAGGCGAAAAAGTCAAGGATTTTGGTATGAGAATGAGAGGGGGAGGGGGTGATTTGTGTTGTGGGTTCACCAACTCATTCTCAGCCACAAGCACTTAAAGTCATTGTTTTGCAACGAAAGCGACCTTTCACTCATTCTTAGCCACCAATCTCATATCTGCCGCCCCTGTCCCACTCTTTATTTTTACAGGGTCATTACGTTTTCTAATCACTCCTTTTGGCTTCCTTCTTTCTTCCTTCAATGAACAAGCGGAGGTTAACGATAGGTGATTAGCGATTACCGCTCCGCTAGTAGACGCTTGTAGGTCTAAACATTGTCATCCTTCTTTTTGACAAAACAATGGATTAGATAAACACGAAAAGTAAATTACATAAACATACTCCAAGTTTGTATTTATTACATTTCACCTATGAAATATTTCAAAACTTATAATAAACCTCAATTAATTAATTATCATTAAAGTATTAGAGTAGAAGTGAAAAAATTAAAATAACTATCTTGAGATTTACCAACCTAAACCAGATTATCAAATCTCAAATCAACTCGAGCTCAAACCCAACTTAACGCATGCAAACCCTAAATTACTAACCTTTTTTCCACTCTTTTTTTCGCCCACCACACTTGAGGACAGTTTGGTAAGTGGGATTGAGGGGGGTTTTTAGAAGATGGGTTGGGAAAAAATTCAAATGACACACAAAATTCATATTTTGCCAAAAATTTGAAGCCTAGATTATCAAACCCAGCCTGCTATTGGCCCAAACCTTAAACCCTAGATCATGGGTTTCATCAAAACTCATGATTTTTTTTTTTTGGGGGGGGGGGGGGGGGTTTAGACAAGGGTTAACGGATTCAAAATACAAAAAAATAATTGTACCTCATATGTATACAAACATGGGTTTAGATCAAATTGATGAAGGGGCACAATAGTCATTTATATATAAATATATTATCATAATAGTGATATATTCGTGCGCATACTAAATATGTGTATGAATTGAATTTTATGTCAAATCACATCTTTGTAAATAGAGATTTGAGTTTGGAAAGATTTAAAGAAGTCAATCCAAACTCTTTCTCAAAAATCTATCCAAGCAAGCCCTTGAAGTCAAATGAACACCCCACCCCTCTCCATCTTGAAGCACCTAGAACCCTCATCCTCTACTCATTCCCCGCTCTAGTTTACTCCCTCTATTCACTCAACTTGATTCTAAATTAACTTGTCATAATCCTCCCATTGGCTAAAGTAATGTCTTATTTTATGAACACAGGTGTGTATGACCACAATTCAATAGCTATTACATATATGTATACTACGGATAATTTGTGTTTGAAGATACAGTGTAATGTAAATAATTTTAAGAAAAATATTGGTGACCGTTAGATGAATCTATTTAAAATCATCAAGTGAACTTGTTGGAACATTCACTATTTTATATTATAGATGTAGGGTATAAAATACACACTAGTGATGACTTGATATATTATCTTGGTCTTTAATATTTATTAGGAAAAATTTCAGTCACATTTTTTTCTAGTTTACTATATTTTCAAGGATACCTTCTTTATTTTTTGAATCTTCATTAACACCTCCTATTAGATTAATGGTGTTAATTATAATGCAATTTTATTAAATTGTCTATGATATATTTTAAAAAAAAATCATCCAAACCCCTTATAGATAAACATATTTTTAATGAGACCCTCTCTGTTTTTTAAATTTTTTTACTTATTAAAATTCAGATTTATTAAAATTCGATTCAAGCTAATTAAAATTAATTTTTTATGTATTAAAATTTGATCAATTAAAAGTTATATTTTTTTACTTATTAAAATTTGAACCAATTAAAAATAAAATAAAATTTTAATCAACTCGCATTGAATTTTAATAAGTTCTAATTTTGATACATAAAAAAATATAAATTTTAATATGTAAAAAATAAATTTTAATCAATCTGAATCAAATTTTAAATGACATGAATTTTAATAAATAAATATATATATATATATATATATATATATATAATTTTTAATCGACTTGGAGTGAATTTTAATCGGCATTAACAGCTCAAGTAAAGTTCAAATTGGGTCGAATTTTAATACTTAAAAAAAGAATTTTAATAGACTCAAATTTTAATACATAAAAAAATTAATCACTTTGAATCGAATTTTAATTGGATCAAATTTTAATATGTTGAAAAATGAATTTTAATCAGTTCGAATTTTAATTTATAAAAAATTAAATTTTAATCGAATTTTATATAGAAATGTTGTTTATGATTTATATAGGGGTAATTTTTGTATTTTAGATGAATTATTTTTGTTAGAAATAATGGTTTAAAGTTAGAGGTATGAGTGATGTTTAAATATAAACTAGAAAGAGTTCTAGTGATATTTTGAAATGTAATTGAAATTTTCCCAATTTATTACATTCCATCAGCCCAGCCCAAATAGAAACCCGAAAAACGAAGGAAGTGTTATTGGGGGTGTCCTAAGTTAGAGTAAGCTGTGTGAGGAGTTTACATTTATAGGGATTTGGTAGGCTTTGATAACATCCAAACCTTGCTTGGACTTGGACCTGTCTGTTCACCATGGGCCAGGTCAACACATGGGTTGGGCCCAAAATTTGCACTGCACATCAACACTGCTTCACCGTAGAGAGAGAGAGAGAGAGAGAGAGAGAGAGAGGGGCAAAGAGGCGGTTGCTGTTACAACTACTTTTACAAGCTTGATCGAACTCATTCTCACCTTTTTGCTTCTCTGTTTTTTTTTTTTTTTTAAAATTTTCTAATTTACAAAATCACTAGGTCATGAGGGTTAAGTTTTGGCCGATTTTCACTGTTCCATCGCGCTTCTGTTTGCTTCACTTTTTCGATTCGTTCTTGGATTATTCTTTTCTTACACTTCATTCGACGATTAACGTTTGAAAACTTCAGACTTAGATTGAATTTGTATAGTTCAAGAGATTTCCAAAGAAGATGTAAATTAGTATAGTTTGAAAAGATTTTCAAAGAAGATGTGAATAACTCAGTTTCTAACGGTATTCTGGTATAGTTTTTGGCGCATTCTTTTGAATCGGCAGTCAAAATCCTTATCTAATACTGACAAACGTTCAAAATACATAAAAATAGGAGTTACAGTCTACACAATCAAGTGAAGCATTAATTCTTTTGAAATCTATATATTTTTTGTTTTTTATCGGGAGATTTTAACGGTCATATTTGGATTTTTCAATTTTTTTATTGGATTTTTCCAATTCGCTGCAATATCAGGGAAGCTTCTGAATATTCAAATGGAAGTTTGGAGCCTTGACCTGAATTCTGAGTTACAGACTTTTCCATGAAAACGACACAGAAGGTACATTTCTTTCTCAATTCGTTTTCCAGGAAAAGGGTATTAATATATGTTGGGGACCGCCATCTCTACAATTTCCAAGACGCCGGCCTCTTAAGAAATCCGTAAAAGCGTTATTACTTCGTCTTCAAGCATGTTAGGGTTCCCATAAGTTTTCTGTTTCCGACTCTGCAATGGAATTGGAGGTCCTTTTTAATGCTTGAGACCAAAGATTAAGCAAAGGGTTTAATCACAACTAACCCACGGTTAAGATCAATTATTTTAGTATATTTTGTTGGGTGATCAATGCTTTCTATCATTAGCTTCTTGTTGCAGGTAATACAGTTATGGCAAGTTGGAGCATGTTGTTTTCCCATTGCAAGCACCAACAACCAATGCTTTTAACATCTTAACAGTCCTGCTTCTTTTGGGTGGAAAGATGGTACAGTGAGAAATTGTGCATAGTTTGGGGAATCATCTGGGACTTGTGAATTGTGGGTATTTATTTTGGGTTTATTTGGTGTTGGGTTTGGTAGTACAGTGAAAAAATTGTGATTGTATTTGGTGTTGTTTACATATTGGAAACATAGGTATTTTGTGTTTGGTGTAATTGGAGGCAGGTTTGGACTTGGGAGAACAAAGAAAGGAGGTGATCAATGGGGGCAATTATTGGGGAAGAGTTGATGAAGTTGGAGAAAATGCAGGGGATGGCAAGTGGCGGTGAGGAGAAGATTCTTGTTTTGGTGAGATTAAGGCCTTTGAGTGAGAAGGAGATTGCAAGGAATGAAGTTGCAGATTGGGAATGCATAAATGATACTACCATTTTGTGCCGGAATAGCCTCCTAGAGCGACCTGGTCTTCCAACAGCATATGCGTTTGGTAAGAAAATACTCATTTTGTCTTCTCTATCCAAGTTTAAATTGGTTTTTGGTTTAGGATGTGGGAATATAACGGTTGAAGCCTTTTGTAGGGTTTAGTTGGAATCCAAAGAGTTTAGACTTTACTTTTACCTTTGGTGAGCATTTAGTGAACTGAGATTAGACGGTGTTGGAATTCATTACACTTATCTCATTATGCCTAGTACATTAGTGTTTCCATCTTTATGCATGTTTGAGTGATCTTGATTTGCACCATGGAGGCAAGCTATCATAGTTAGTTTGACACTTTTTGATGCATGTGATTTAATGTTTCATATTCAAAAAAGAATTTTGTTCAGATATTTTTTCCTCCTGATTATCCCCTCTCTATTTTCGTGGTTCATGTTTTTGTGGATAGATAGAGTATTTAGAGGTGATTGCTCAACGAAGCAGGTGTACGAGGAAGCAACAAAGGAGATTGCTCTTTCAGTTGTCAGTGGTATCAACTGTAAGTATAATATGCCTTTGCTTTCTGTTGTCATATCGTCACCTGCCTATCTCTGGGGATTGGGATATGCATCATGTCAATAAGAGTAGAGTGAGAGAGAAGTACACCTGCCTCCTGTAGTTTCCAGTTACCTGAAGCATCTATGAAGTCTGCCACTTCACTGCTGAGATTCACTGATTCAGGGAGTGGGATTCTGCTTTGTAAGGACCCCTCTCCAATCCACCAATCTGTCCAAAAATTTATCCTTGTTCCATTTCCAATTAACCACCTAGTACCTTCTAAGAGATCTTTTGTCTTCAGGATAGCTTTCCAGGTGGGTGAGGATGCAGTTTTGTTATACCAATTATGTACATATTGGCTGGTGTATTTACACTTTAAGACTTCTATCCAGAGAGAGAGAGTCCTCACTGGTCTTTATTTTCAAACCTAGTTTAGAGAGAAGAGGTATGTTGTTATCCCTACTTTTCCTTAGGTCTAGGTCACCAGAGCTCTTAGGAGTGCATACTCTATCCCAGTTGTAGGTGCGCTTTTCTTTTCTCCTCTGACTAGGTCACCTGCCTATCAAACGACAAATAAATGGCTTCCAATTTTTTTGAATTTTTTATTCAGCATCTATTTTTGCATATGGACAAACAAGCAGTGGAAAGACATACACCATGAATGGAATAACAGAGTATACAGTGGCAGATATATATGACTGCATCGAAAGGGTAATCAAATGCTATTTTTGGTGTCTATTTTCCTACATGGATTTCAAATTTTACATATTCATCTTTTCTTTGTTTCTTTAAATATTCGTTTTCTTTTCCACAGCATGAAGAAAGAACATTTGTTTTGAAGTTCTCTGCAATTGAGATCTACAATGAAGTTGTAAAAGACCTCCTCAGCACAGAGAGTACTCAACTTAGGCTTCTAGATGATCCCGAAGTGAGTGTTATGTTTTTAAGTTTCACCCTTTAAGACTATATAGTGTTCTTATGATTCCTCACTTCTGCAGAAAGGGACCATTGTAGAGAAACTGACGGAGAAAACTCTCAGGGATAGGAGCCATCTCAAGGAGCTCCTGTCCATCTGTGAAGGTGGGCATACTTCAATAATTATACTGTAACAGAATGTGACGTGAATTACCTTCTTAAAAGTTATGTGCGGGGTGATTATGTGTTTTATTGCATTCTTGCAGCTCAAAGGCAAACAGTGGAGACCTATCTAAATGAAACAAGCTCTAGATCTCATCAAATCCTTAGACTGGTGCGCCCCTCCCTCCTCTCCCTTTTGTGGTCAGAGCATATTTCTCCGCTAGATTTTTGTGTGCGTTATACTTTACAGTCCTTTTAGTCACCGCATATGTATTTGATTCTCTCAGACAATAGAAAGTTCTGCTCGTGAGTTCGTAGGGAAGGACAAGTTAACAACCCTTGCAGCTAGTGTGGTATAAATCCTTTAACAATTTTTCTTTTCTCCCTGATCAAAATTTAATGAATATAAGACAGCTGATGAAGCTTATTAGATGATTTATATTGTTTAAATAGTTGCAGAAAAATCAGATTGCAAATGTTAAGTCTTGGCAGGTTAATATATTGTCTGCAGAATTTTGTTGATCTGGCTGGGAGTGAGCGTGCATCTCAAGCATTATCAGTTGGGCAAAGACTGAAAGAAGGCTGCCACATAAATCGTAGTTTACTGACTTTGGGAACTGTTATTCGCAAACTAAGGTTGGCTTGTTAATCCTTTCCTTTTTTCCCAACTTTTGTCGGCAGCTTGAAAAATCATTGAATAAGCTTAGGTTTTGGACATTGCTGTGTACTGTTTTGCTCACTTACCTGTAATCTCTTTGTGGTTACTCTATCTGGCATTCTGGTTTCTAAATCATGTGCAAGTTCATCACTAATTTGAATAATGCCACATTTGGAGTTGAAGATTAATTCCTTGGGAGTATGTCCATTAGAGGGTGATTATTGGTGTTTTGCAGATACGCATCTGCCATTAAAAGAGGATGCCATTTTGTGTTTCAAATGTAGTTACTAGTTAGCATTGCTAGTCAGTTGAAAATATACTCGAATCTTCAGTGGCGCCAGGACAGAGTAAAATAGTATGTTACTACAAATCTGAGCATGATCTCTGACTATGGGTGTGTGGGATGTTTATTAATTCTCCTCTGGCTCTCCCACCAGAGGCTCATGCCAGTATTCAGTCACAAGTTTGCGGCAATTTAGTGTCACTTTTGGGATTTATTTATTATTATTATTTTTTTTTTGGTGGGGGGGGGGGGGGGGAGGGGGGAAGGGGAATCTGTAACTGTCCCCAACTTTAGCAGGTCGTGTATAATTACTCCTTTCCTTTTATGCAGATTTTTTTTTATCAAATCCATGTTCCTTTTCTGATTCCTGAATTGTTGAAGCTTTAATATAAGTTGGAGGCTTATACTTTTTTTTTGTCAATATATTTGGTGGTCTGATTGATGCAGCAATGGAAGACAGGGACATGTTAATTACAGAGATTCTAAGCTGACTCGCATACTGCAACCTGCCTTGGGAGGCAATGCTAGAACTGCCATTATTTGCACTTTGAGCCCAGCACGGAGCTATGTTGAGCAATCTAGAAACACTCTCTTTTTTGCTAGTTGCGCAAAGGAAGTGACCACAAATGCACAAGTCAATATAGTGATGTCCGATAAAGCCTTGGTGAAATATTTGCAAAAAGAGGTGGCCAGATTGGAGAGTGAGTTAAGAACTCAAGGCTCTACTTGTGATTATACGTCATTGCTGAGACAAAAAGATCTGCAGATTGAGAAGGTTACAATTCACTTTCCAAATTCATTCCTAAATATATTTGCACTTGTTAACATGATTGTATTTGTTAGAGAATCCAACCCAAAGCCAAATGGCAATGGGTGGAGTGGCCCTTCAAGTATACAAACCAACCTTGGTGGTCCTGATTAATCAATGTGGGATAGAAGCTCTCTTAATACCCTCCCTCATGTGAGGTCAACAAACAACAATCATGCATACCAAAAAATTTAAGTGGTATCAGAGCTTCCAACCCAAAACCAATTGGCAATGGGTGGTGGAGTGGTCCCTCAAGTATATAAATCAGCCTTGGTGGTACTAATTATGTGATATGAGATACAAGCCCTCTTAATTGTCAAACATCGGAGATCTTATGCACTATGTGGAATTGATTTGCTGAATGAAATTGAGAGGTGGAGCCAACCATATTTTATGTATTGTAGTAAGAGAAATAGTTCCTGTCCTCATACTAGGTTTGGGGCAATTGATATCCATCTAACCAATAAGCAAGTGTACACTCATTACTCAACATTGATTGTCTGGTTTACTACCTCCAGTTGGAGAAAGAGGTGAGAGAGCTAACTAAGCAACGGGATCTTGCTCAATCTCGGGTCGAGGATTTACTACGAGTGGTTGGAAATGAGCATTTTTCAAGGCAAGGGGTATGTATTATTCTATTCTTGCCGAACTAAGAGTACCTTGAAAAATATTGCACCAACTGCTAACTTGTTCTTTTCCTTTTCTTCTTTTTCTTCTTCCTTTTGGCTCAGGATGTACTTAATGAAAACGCAAAATTGCAAGGAAACAGCACATGCGAAGATGAATGTTCAGTATCAGAGGCATCGGATGGAACTGATCCTCATTATGTGGATGTTGGTGCCAGAAAAATCAATGCAACCCAATCTTTTGACGTTAGCCCGAAGGCTGACTATTTAACAAATGCAACCCAATCTTCTAACGGAGACAACAGAAACAATGGCCCCCCCTACCTACGGTCTCCAGAAGATGAGAGAGACCATTCTGTTTCTGATAGCACTTCTTCACCACTGTCAAATAGAAGCAAGTCTGCTCTATCTGATCGATGTCAGGGAATGGATGAGTTTGCACTGAAAACTGGGGAAGATTCTGATGGCATCTGCAAGGAAGTTCAATGTATTGAGATGGACGACTGCAGAAAGGGCCAAACCTGTGAATCCTTTGCCTTGTCCAACGGTGAGAATGAAGGGCCACCATTGACTGTGTCTGACAATGTTCATATGGCAGTTCAAGAATTGGTTTCAAGCCCACTTAGAGTAGTAAGTCACATCCAAAATGATTTTACTTACACAGTGTTGGAGCAGAAAATCCAAGATGTGCAAAAGGTCGTCAACTCTCTAGCCAGCCCATTCCCTGATGAACCATCTCCATGGTCCCTGGGAGTGGATATGTCAAGTTCTAGAAGGCTGAAGTTAACTAGGAGTCACAGTTGTAGAGCCAATCTCATGGCTGGGTCACTTTCATCAGACTCTGAGACAGTAGAAGAAAGTGAGAGAACCCCACCTAATGGGTTTGAGAGGCAGTTTCCTGGAAGACCAGAAGGCCACCAAAGGAAACATTGGAAGCTTCTTCCATTGAATTATGATACCTATACTTCTAGGTTGTCAAGAAATGATTCGCAATCTTCCATCGGTAGTGCTTTCATAAATGATCCAAAAGCTCATCACCAGGCTGCTGGAAATGAGGATATTCCTAGCATTGGTACTTTTGTTGCAGGGCTGAAGGAAATGGCCAAGCTTCAGTATGAGACACTTCTTGATGATCAGGTGAGAATGTGCCTGTTTTCTTTGCTGGTGTGCATAAATTTGGTCATTTTAAGTGATCTTGATACATCAATTTTTGTGGTCCCTATATTACTTTCATTCAGTAATTAGTAATTACTATTGATGAGTTGCCTTCTCATTCTCTTATGCTTATACATGTTATAGATGCTGGGGTGTATAAACGAAGTTTGTGTTAGTTATGTTGTGTATGATTCATACTTTGGTAAGTTATCTTGGTTTAGTGGATAGATCAACATGAATTTGGGTTGGGAGAGGCTTGGATCCTTAACATGTTGGTAGATGTTGAAATGTTGTGTGGTATGTTGTTTAATGTTCAATTACCATAGCATATATTTTTATTCCTTGCCATATTTCATTTGAACAGCTGTATTGTGGGCATAGGGTCCATTATTTAAAGAAGGTAGGCCCTTTTATAGATCTTGCCATCTTAATGTGAATTCTTATGCATGCTAGGTTCCAGAGAGAGAACCAAAGGCTGAAAAGTCTCGAATGGATGTCAAAGATGTAGGATTGGATCCAATGCAGGATACATTGGGAGATTCTTCAGATTGGCCCTTGGAGTTCGAAAGGTTGCAGAAATTGATTCTTGAACTGTGGCAAACTTGTAATGTTTCATTGGTTCACAGGACATACTTCTTCCTTCTTTTCAAAGGCGATCCAATGGATTCTATTTACATGGAGGTAGAGCATAGGCGACTTTCCTTCCTCAAGGAAACATTTTCCAAGGGAAATTTAACTGTGCAAGATGGTCGAAATCTGACATTGGCCTCAAGGTCCTCTCTCTCTCATCATCATCATCATAAGCACTGTCTATTTGTGCTCATGCATGTGTGCATGCAGGATTATGGTACTCTACCCATATCGTATCATTTCTTGCAAAATATAAAAATGGATAAAGAACTTAGATTTGCTCCCTTTGGTATTGACTTTTTTCAGAAGCTTAGTGATTTTAGGGGAAAAAGTGGTAGGAAAAGATAAGGTAATAATGTTTAGAAAACAATCTGCTGAAAGTTTTCAATTGGATAATTTAACATTTTTCATATTATTAAGACACACTACGATTCTTAAAATGGCCGACTGAAATTTCAAACTTCATTCTCTTGAATTGAGATCATGTCAGCATAAACAGCAAGTAGCCCTTTTTGGTTGAATTTTGTTTGTTCTTGTTATTCCACCAACATACCCGATATGTTATTTTCTTGGAGTGACAGCATGAAAGCTCTTCGCCATGAGAGGGAGATGCTGAGCAGGCTTCTAAATAAAATGTTTTCAAAGGAGGATAGAAAAAGAATGTACCAGAAATGGGGTATCAGTTTGGACTCAAAGCGGAGGAGGTTGCAGCTGGTCCAGCGATTGTGGGGTGACACGAAGGATATGAACCGCATTACTGAGAGTGCTGCAATTGTTGCACAGCTGATCCGGTTCTCTGAGCAGGGACAGGCACCCAAAGAGATGTTTGGGCTTAGCTTCACACCACCACACATGAGCCGGAGATCCTTTAGCTGGAAGCGCAGCATGGTATCCCTTTTGTAAGCTACTTGTATGCTCGCGCACAAAACAGTATAGGCGTGATTTGCCGAACCATGTTGACTACTACATAAACAGATTTTTGCAGATTGTGGCAGAATTGTAACAATTTTGTTTATCTTATTATGTTAGGCTGATATCGTGCTATGGAAATTTCGCATTTTTATGGTTCATGTGTATTGGATTACGAATATGATTTGTAAGTGTTAACCAAAAAACAGAAAGAATACGATTTACCAGTTTGATTCTTATATTTGTCAAGTAGAAATTTTTGAGTAACTTATGTTGATCAAATGGTAATTTTTACTTCAATTGACATTTTTTCATAGACATATACTCCGTAGTTCATACTAAGAATCATTATACGCACAAATGGTATTGTCTTTTTCGGATAGTATACTTATTTTTTTGGCAGATATTATTATAGGGTAGAAAACGGTGGCGATTTAGGACAACCATTAACCTCTATCAATAGACTTGGTTGTTCTGAAACAGTAAGAAAAACTAAAAAGATAATGTAAACCATTAAAGAGTTGGATGGAAAGTCTATTCATCAACTTTTTTATTTATCTTATTTTTTTTTCTTATCAAATATAATGTTTTATCTATTCCTCTAACTTTCCATCTTTTCAATTTTTCATCCTTCTATTTTTTTACCGTACCAAACTTCTATAATCATTCTTTTTTTAGGTCTTTAGTTTACTCTCACGATAATATTCATCAACCTTTAACTTTTCACAAGACGAGTTATTTCAATCAAATAATTTTGAGTCTAGTTGAAGTAATTATTATTATTATTTTTTTTTTTTTTAGCTTTGAATGTCAATTAGATTTATTGGGTCAAATTCAAACCGACGCTAAAAAATAATTAGCTTGAAAGTATCATCATATTAACTCATATAACCTATCAATTTATAATCTTAAGTTGTAATTCAAATAATAACTGCAAATTCAAATTTCTTGATTTTAAATTTTAGCAATTCCTTACAACTAAGTCATGAAAAAATTATCGTTCATAAATATCTTAATTTCAATGTAGATATGTTTGACTGAATCAAATAGGAAATTAGTCAAAAAAAGGGTGTCCAAACACCCCGAACAAAAAACAAAAACTACCAATATATCAATCAGCTTTAAAAAAAAAAAAAAAGATTTCCAACCAATCGAGTCCAGCGCAGCAAAGTAATGACTGCATGGTAATGGTAAAACGACATCGTAGCAATATCATTTTACGACCCATTTAACTTGGCAAAATAGACTGACATTTGCGGAACACTCTAGAGAGAGGAGAGAGGAGAGAGGAGGGAGGGAGAGAGAGAGAGATGAGTGCAGCATCGTACCTGGCGAGAAGGGCAGCGCAGAAGGAGAAAGTGAGGATCCTCTACAGGAGAGCTCTCAAAGACACTCTGAATTGGGCCGTTCATCGCCATCTCTTCTATCCAGATGTATGCCCCTTTCTAATCTTACATAGGGTTTCTTCCACCTCTTTAATCAACCGATCCTTATTCTTTTCATATACGTATATATGTACATGGGTGTGTGTGTAGATTAATCGGAGATTGTTTGAATTACAGGCCGATGCACTCCGAGAGAAGTTTGAGGCCAACAAACACGTGGTTTGTTCTCTTGATCAATCTTTTCTGGTTTTGAGCTAATAATAATGTCATTGGACGCATCTACACGCGTACACACATTTCTAGAATTATGAATTTGCTTGTGGGAGCTGCATTACTCACCTCTCCTGGCTGATTTCTACCTCGGTATTTTAGAAAATGCGAAACATTAATTAAGATTTGTAGCTACCCCTACCAGACCATCTAGGACAATGTTGTTGTTATCTTTATGTTCTGCAATTATTTATTGCATTTGTTCAGGCTGTGAAATGAGTTGGATGCAGTTTCATACTTGGGCTATCGGTATATTAGAGGATCCATTGGGTATCCCTTTTTTAATATGCTTAAAAATTCTACTTAGTGAGGGATGTGATCATGCTAGTATATGTGGCAAAACACCGGTATGTATATCCATTTTTGTGGTCTGCGGCGCTATATCAAACAATGATTGTAGGTCCAGTTTTGACAAAATGCCGAAAGAAGATATATAGCAGAGGGAGACTTCACCACTTACTCTTTTGATCCTAACTAAAGTAATAATCATCACCAACTGGTTGTAATTTTTGGTTATGGTTGGGCTGGACTGCTTAAACCGTTAAAACTTGCATCATAATATGTTTGCCGATCTTACTAATCCATGTCTTGTCATGTTGCTTTATATTGGTGGACCCCAGGAAGATCTCGAAACTATTGACAGACTGATATCTGCTGGTGAAGCTACCTACAATAAATGGCAGCACCCTGATCCTTACATCGGTAAGTGCTATGACATAACCTTCATTCTTCCTTATTAGGACTGGGATATATCCATTTGATGGAGACCTGAAAGTAATACAGCATGAAGTTAAAAGAGTGGATATATGAGAAATTTATAATTATCAATAGATTTTATTTTCTTCGACCGTTGCCAATTTATCTGCTCAGAGGTAGATGACTGGTTATGAATTTCTTTCTTTTTGAGGACGAGCTTAGAGATTGAAACATTACCATTAAACATCATTTGCTAGTTTCTTCTTCTAGGAGCTGTGGAATTGTCAATGGATTGAGAAGAAATGATTTAAGGTTGTGTTTGGATTCTTTGATTTGAATTGGAGATAAAGACAGAGGGATAGCAGATCGTGTCAAATCTGTTGACTTGGGGAACTCATTCCTAAGAAAAGATCCTACTAAGTCATGAGATCCTAAACATCCTAAAGCCTCTCCTTGTGCCAATTTGAACATTTCTTACTTGTTATTTTTATTGATAGGACATCTTACTTGTTATTATCTGGAATTCTTCCTGGATAAGCACAAATCAAATTGAGGGTTTGGCCATTGTCCTAAATCCGCGATCTAAGATTTTTAGATCGTTACATTCTGGCATATGGTACAAGTATTACTAAATCAAATCAAATTTTGCCCATCAAAATAATGAACGTAAACAGAGCACATGGTTTTCCCAGTAATGCTAATGTAAATATTGTTTCCCAGCAATTGATCAATTTCAGTCTCATATCCTCTTTAAAAACCTGTTCTTGCTGTTAAAATTGCATATGCTACTTTAGATTCATGTGAGCACTTACTCCTACAAGCAGTGGTTCAGTGTCAATCTCCTTTCTTGAAACAGTGCATGCTGATGCAGAGACAACTGCTCATACATTGATGTTAGAGAGAGAGCATTTGAGTCTTTGACACATCCTCTGTAACTTTAGTTTAGTTTATTAAGTTGTGCCTATATGTAACATTTTTTTGGTTACTCCTTTTTCGCAATCTCTTTGCTAGTGATGCTTACTCTGGGCCAGTACTACACTGTTGTTTTAACTCGGTATATTCAGCTTGAAGGCTCATTCTCATTCTCTTTTTTTATGAACAGTTCCATGGGCTCCTGGTGGGAGCAAATTTACCCGAAATCCAACCCCACCTTCTGGTGTAAGTGGTTTTTTCAGTTTAGTTGTTAGATTGATATTAATCATGTTGCCCATTATGCCCTCTTTTCTCCGTTGTTTACTTGATTAATTTCGTGGATGCAACATGATATCTTCTGTAATCAGTCATTTTCGTGCTAGTTGTCTCTTTTTCATTGTCAGTTCCATATAAAACTGGCAATTATGCATCTTTCGTTTCTTTCCTCCCAATTTTCTGGGGAGACGACTTTTAAATGGCATGATGATGTATCTTTGATCTTAATTTGTGGTTCAAGAGTCAAATGTTTGCCCAAGAGTCAAATCCATATCCACAAGGTTGGGCTTATTCAAGGGTGAGCTTAAGTCACTCCTTTGGTGCTCTCAGTCATCAGAATACATAGAACTTGTTGCCTGCATTGATGACTCAGAGTGAAGTAGGCTTGATTATATTTTAATCTTCTTGGAACTTATTCAACAGTTTTTTGTATGCTTTCAAAATATTTAAATTGTCTTAGTCTGAAGGCTAAATGATATAAATGAGTTCAGTTTCTAAACTCTGACCATGACACATGTTAGCTTTCGAGATGATTGTGCCGCTCAAGTTGGACTATTGAACGGCCTATGTTAAAAATCTGTCCTATCTGTGATTCTTTGTATCTCAGATAGATTGTTAAGCACCCCAATTGTCCCAGCGACTTTTTATGGGTAACTTCTATGCAGGCATTTGTTGGTAGGCAGTCATTTGAAAGATTCTTGCCCAGCTCAGTTGGCAAGTGGACTGTAGATGCGGGGAAAGAAAAGAAAAAAAATTAGAGATATATGTCCAACTTTGAGATGGGAATTGATATTGCAAGGTTCCAATATTCACTTATTTTCCTGTCTTTCAGAAGTCAATAATATCACCAAGTCCAGCTCTTTTAAGCCATAATTAGAAATTTCTTTCTAATATAATGCTAACACGAATTAGTTGATAGGGCCTGCTTACCTAATTAATGTTGTTGCTAAAATGGTGAGGGGTAGTCTGAAGATCCAACCAGCTATATTACAGGGATAACAATTAAAGAAACTTCAGAAAAATCTGGAAAAAAAATTTAACACCAGCAAAAGCTGACTCCGTTGCTCCTACTGTGACTGGGATCCCATTTTTTGAAGTTTCATGTTTTGTAATTTTGTAGTTCTCAGTAAGGATGAGGTTAGCGGTTGGCCTAATGATCACCACTCCCACGGTTGGACTTTAAGGTCTTGAGTCTGAACCTTTTCGTCACCCTCCCCTGTAACAGTGTCTGAAAAAAAAAATAGTTCTCTGTAAGGATTCTATAATTTGAAAATGATTATTAATTGATGGACTTTGCTAGAAGGTAAGTCTCTCTCTGCCCCCCTCCCTCCTCGTCCTCCTCCTCCTCTTCCTCTTCTTTCACAGCTCACGTACGAGTTCTCAATATTACTTTTCTTAAAGCTCTAGAATTAGGAATTTAGGATCTAGGCTGGGTAAAACCATTTAAGATTTGTCTTGTCTCGTACATTCTACTTGACCAAAATCAGTGGGTGTTTTGTTGTTGGTTTATTACTTATTTTGCAATGAACATTTCAAGAGATAATCTATTTGTAAAAGTGCCATAATTGTACTTCACCATAATTGTGGTGGTCCTTTTCTTCTCCTATCGGTTTCTAGAACATGGGTGGCTTTTTGAAAGTTTGGTTTCAAGTTTGCCTTCAAATCAATGGCTGCAGTTTTCTTTCGGATTTTAGGTTTAGGCAACACCACTTTTTTGGTGTTCTGATCCATTACAAGTTGGTTTCTTCCTTCACGGTCAATTGCCACATATGTATGTGTCCACACTAGCACATGCATGGCACGTAGCTTAGAAGTGGCCTCATTCTTCTTGTTGTGGTGGTGTTATATTTTTTCATCATTGCTGTAGTGTATTTCTTTGCCTATGATTGTAGATTATGATAGATATGTACAATTTTAAACTTGTGTTCAAAGTTGACAGCTTTTACTTATAGTTGTGTATCAGGATTTACTATCTCTATGTGTTTCAATTAGTTATGAATTTTTTGGTTACTGATGCAGATTGAGATAGTATATGACTTTGGACGAGAGGATAATGACTAAACTTTGATACTCTCTCATGGCAGCAAATAAAGGTTAGCATCATAATTGGCCACATGATTTCAATGTTTCTGTGTAGTTGTATGGCTGGATACTACAGCTTGACCATGCGGCCACTTGCTCAAATCACATATTGCATCTTGAAAAGAAGATGAAAAGGTTTTACTGGCTGGGAAAAAATGATCCCTAGTATTTGGATTCTACTGGAGTTAATTTAAAACTTATACTTGTTTGGTGGCTACTCTTGTACTTTGATTTGACCATTTTGTTTGTTTATTTGTAACTCTTTCTGTATCTCTCTCACACACACTGGCATTCCTTCAATTTTTCTTCTAGTAATACTCCATTTTCTTATTGACGCAGATTCCAAAGGCATGCCTGTGGAGAGGAGATTGTCTCGCATATTGTTTGTGTTTTGGAGAACAATCGTTTGCTTTAAACATTCTCAAATGCACAGTTGATCTGTATTTGTTTTGCTGCTGAGACTGATCTATTCACTCAAAGAACAAGTGTTTACTTGACTGGTTTCAGAAAGCTGGTTGAACTTGAAATTCATGCCATTCTCGTGTGCTACATTGACCAAGTGTTGAATTCTGTTGCGGCACATCCTTCCATTGAGGGTGCTTTAGTCTATGGGGATTAAGGCACCCACCGTCTTTTCCAGTCATGTCTCTGAAAGTTGTAGGGTCTGAACCCGTAGAGAACACGTTTAAGGGAGGAGTTTATCGTCTGGTGGCAAAGGGAGGGTGGCTATCCCTTCTCTGCAGTGCTGTCCGCTGTTATGTTTGGCAAAAATGGTGGGACAAGGCAATTATTCATTCATAAAACCAACGTTCTTAAAACCAAATAGTCGGGTAAAAAAAATGTCCTGCTCCCACCATCCCAAACATGTGTGAGAGAGAGAGAGAGAGAGAGAGAGAGAGACGGATCATAAGATTATAGTTTCTTAAGTTTGTCCATGAAAATTGATATCTTTTTGTTTTTCGTTTGTTGGGATGGGGTGGGGTGGGGTGGGGGGGGGGGGGGGGGGGGGAGGGGAGGTTTGAGGAATGTTCAAATTAGATTATATGTACCTTGATTAATTTTTTTTTCAGTTCAGTCAAAAGTAAGTCTTCTATATTCAGATTTATCCTTCATGACCTGTCCTTAAGAGATAGAGATGCAATTCAAGCGGGTTGAAGGGTCAACTCTAATCTAACTTTGCATATATAATCTTTAACTCAAGTTTGAATTCGACTTCAACTTGAGGTACTCAATTCGAGTATTATCCAAGTTGAATTTGGGTAGGGTTGAATTGAATTCGGATTTTTTAATTCGGGTATGCAATCGGGTTACAAATGAAAAAAAAAAAATTACACAACACAAAAAAATTAAACCAAAAAGTCCAAAACACCATAGTGACTCCATTGCCACCACAATCATTACCCATAGTCACTGTCACTGTTATAACAACAACTGCCCATAGCCACCACCTCTACCATCACAACCACTATCCATTGCCACCACAGCCACAATGCTGTTGCCCACAGCCACCACACCACACCCGTTTCCCACACAGCCACCACACTATAACCACTAGATCTGATCATCGTTGTGGTCTTTGACGCCATAGCCACTAGATTTTCACTAGATCTGAGATGTAAAAGTCATCAAATCTGAGATACAAAAGTCACTAGATTTGACCATTGCTGTGGTCTTCGACACATAGAGAAAGTGAGAGGGTGGCCGAGAGAGTATAAGAGAGACCTTGAGATGGAGAAAGGCTGAGAACGACAGAGAGAATAAGAGAGACATAGAGAACGAGGGAGGCGCTGTGAGATGTAAAGAGCAAAAATGAAAAACCCTAGTAATGCTTTATATATATATTTTTTTTTTAAAAAAATTTTGGTTCGGGTTGAACCTGAAACCCGAGACATAAACTCGAGACTATCCAAATTCAATTCGAGTTAGGATTTTTTAGTTCCAGTCCAACTTAAGTATTAATAATTCCACCTTAAGTTCTATTTTTTCTTTTTGATTGGGTTCGCATTGAATTCGAATTGACCCGCCCATGTTACACCCGTGGGATTGCAAACTCGTGTCATCCCATTTTACCAATAGGTGTAAAGTAGCCTAGGGAAAAATATTGTAACCAGCCTGTAAGTTGTGGATATGGTCCCTTTGATGAGCACACTGCCAAATTTATCATCTGTTTCTTATCTCATGACTATAGCAAATGAAATAAATAGGAGTGCTCACCATATCCTACGGGTTATAGTCTTTCATCTTTCTACCCGATATTTTACAAAAAAAAAATTTCTTGACCTACTCTACCTGATCAGGTATGGTATTCCTACTCGACTTTCTATCCGATTAATCGGGTAAGAAGTCGGGTAAACACTTTGTAACTATTAATTTTTTGGATTATTTTAACAATTTAATTAAATAACATGCATCAATTTAACAACACAATAAATCAATAACATTAAAACATAAAACAACTACAATAACAATTACAATAAAACATAAGTAAGAACATCAATTCGTCATAATTGTTACACAAATACAACAACAATTATTTTAAGTTTAAACTATATAAAACACATTAAAATCATAACTATTCTAATAAATAACCAATTCACCACAAATCATGTAATCTACACAAAAAATAAGTCTATGTTTTCGCAACTTAAACATCCACAACGATAACAATGTTATAATATAAATTGTATTATACAAATACTCTTATAATTACTAAAAAAATATAAAAAAGTTAAATATATTTTTTATAGGTAGGGTAGAGTAGGGTAGGAATACGAAAATTGATGAGTATTTCGCATTCCTATCCGATTTTTGCGGCTAGCCATTCAGTAGGGTAGAATAGGATTGGGTAGAGTAAAAAATTGCGATCAATCTAAAATTTGAACACCCTTAAAAATAAAATAGGCATAGATTAGAACCTTCACAATTCAAAATTTAAGGTTGTTCCAAACCATACTCATAAATTTTTAAAAGGAAAATTACATTCCTACTGCCTAAAATTTGTCATTTAATCATTTAGATCCACTGATATTTAAAATATTATACACAACCTTCTTAAAGTTTGTATGCGTGTAATACTAAGTCTCTGTCGTTAATGTCAGTTAATAAATTATACTTAGATCCCTTAAAATTTGTAAACGTGTAATACTTATACTCTTTAAATTTAAGATATTATATTTAAATCCTTTAGTAGTTACGAAACTAACAAAACTTATTAAATGACCAAATTATCCCAATTAAAAATAGAAGATATTGTATATGTTACAATTTAATTCCTTGTTTGATTTTTAATTTTATTCTAATAAACAGTATAATTATATGTAAATGAATGTTGAATTGAATTCTTTAATATATTTACACCGATTATTATACGCAATTCATACCTTTTGAGCCACTTACTGACTTAGGCATCAGAGAGTCGACTTCTAGAGCTCCCTTCTAGTCTCCGACTTCTTTTTCGAGTGATCAAAGGCCAACAAATTAATGTAGAGGTTGTCCAAATTTTGGCATCAATAATAATAATTATAATTTTTTTTAAAAAAATTAATTTTTTTTTGATTTTATTTCTATTATAAAATTTAAAATATTTGATGTTCTATTTTTAATTGAAATATTTTTAATCTAAATATAATATTTTAAACTTCAAAGATTTAAATGTTATACGCTTATAAATTTCAAAAGATTTAAATATAATTTACTAATGAATATACTAATAGATATTGACAGCGGGATCTAAATATTATGCGCGTATAAACCTTAAAAAGTCTGTGTATAATATTTTAAATATCAAAAGTTCAAAATGATTAAATAACAACCGTAACCTTGATAGACAAAAGAACGAGTGATGTAACCTTGACAGACACGCATGGCTTACTCCTCCATTCCCTTGATTAGCTTTCAGTTCAATCCTTCCTTTGCACTCCTTAAATTTTGTTTACCTGATTTCTCTCCCTTGCTGTTCTAATATCTGGCTAATATGGACGATGAATGAGTAAAAGCACCCAAGGTAATCCGTAACGACAATAGTGCTTTTGTAACTGCATCCCCAATCACGTCGTTTATGCTACTACGAGCTATCCAAAGCGGAATCACCTTGCAAGCAAACCCAGAAGAGAAGGTAGTTATAATCGACTCTCTTTCTCAATTGGAAGTGGAGTTGCCACCGTTGTCTTAGGCGTGGCATATGCTGTCATTGGACTTGCAATAGTAGCAGCCTTGGTGCAATATGAGCTGGAAGAGGACACAAGAAATATGGTACTCATTAAAGTAGCAATACTACTCAACTGCTAATTGTTGTGTTTTTTATGCCCCCTTTTCTTCTTTAATCAATGTACTGAAAACCATAAAAATAAGAGAGGATGGAATTTCTGTTGTACCCTGTTGTTTCATTTTCTTGGCATGCTCTTAGGAGGAGGATAATCCTAGTTTAACGACTCTAATTTTATACTATTCAGGGCAATTGATGCAGTTAATAACAAATTCAGGGCAACATAAAACAGAGCTCATCCTAATTTTGGAGACCATCAACCATAAGGAATAATCAACATTTTTATCAAGAAACAAGAAGCAACATGTCCATGTGTGTTTTTTTACGCCAGTTTTTCACCACACATCCATATATGGCCCTTGTGTCTTCCTTGATTGTTTTCCCTCTGATGATACCTCAAAGGAATTTCAACTAAGTATGAGACCAGGAGATTAGACAAGACGCGCAGGTCTCAAAGAATTAGAGTTAGAGCTCCCCCCAGACGAAACAATAGCAAAAACGATAAGGAAACAACTAGATGACAGCAGGGCAAGAGTCCAGGCACAAAACTCTCAACCAACCTAGATCCTCTCCCAAAATCAAGGGAGATTCCGCTAAGATCGCGCTTAAGATTCCTTAGGGATCGAATTGCACTATAAATACTGTACAATCCCTCTAAGATGAGGCAAGAAAACCCTAGATAAGTGTGAGGCACACTGCAAATTCCATTCCTCACTATTAAGACAAACAAAGAAGTAAGAACCTCCATTCAAGAGTGGACTAGCCGAGCTCTCGATCTAGCGAACCACTATACTTTCTCTGTGTAAATCACCCCAATCCCCTAAATTCTTTATCACGATCCCCATGAGCCTTGAAGCTCAGACCCAACCTGCCAAGCATAATTCATACCTTCTGCTTAACCGCATTAATTTACACCATCACCCTCTATCAAGTTTCTCCACTACAAATTAAGGAATATAAGAGTAGTTTACTATTCCTTTACATACCCCATTCTATTTTTCTTTCTTCTTCCCTTACAAAGCTTTTACACTTGGATGTACTATTGCTAGTTCCGCATATTGAAGAGAAAAAGAAAATAACCGAAGTGTACTTGATTAAGATTCATAACAATCCATTGCTGTAAAAAGCAGAAATTTGGTCTAATGTATAAACTTACATACTGGAAGGAAAAGAGATTTAATATCTAAAGTTAAATGTAGCCTACCCCTAATAGTTAAGATAAATGCTTTGTTGAGTTGAGTAAAAAGCTACAAAAGAGAATACCTTTTTTCTAGTATGCTTCATTTCTCCAACAATGCTCGCAGACCAGTCCTCCAAGAAGCAACTACATCGGAAGACCATCTTTTATGTGCCAGAACCAATAAACCTAATACAAAATCTTCAGACCAAATGCATCAATTACTATTCAAATTTTTGAAGCTAGTATACCGTTCCTGTAAACAACCTGCCTGGAAGTTGCAATGCTGATTTTTGAAGTCGCAATATACCAAGTGATATAACACTGTAATTCTACAAATGATTGTATTGACAACAATAGAGAAAACAATGAAATCAAAAGTACATAGTATCTTATAGACAATGTCAAAATGACATTGTTTAGGCCACATTATACATCTGAACACCATAGTTTACACTTTACAGAGATGAGAACGTGATCCTTCAAAGAATGAGCACATTGTACACTATTTTCAAAACATTCATGTGATGCAATCTCAAGTCCCTTTAAGCAATTCATATAATCTAAAAATATGAGCAGCTGATCTTATCAAAAGGACAAAAGGGCAATATTATGAACATACGGTCTACAACTATACACTTTTTTCCAAAATCCAACAAGGATGAATGATTGAGCAGCAAGAGAGATGAAGATTACCGCTAAAGAAATTAGCCATATCATTGCAACAGAAAACTCACTGTTCTTGTTCTGTGGGCGTTTTACACTACATTCAGACTTGCAACCGAACCAGGACCCAAAGGCATATATAATCAGCTAGCTCACTCAATTGGGGTAATCACTAATGTAAAGAGAGTTTGTATGCATCCCACATTGAATGATTAGGGACCCAAGGTTGGTTTATATACTAAAAGGGGCCTCCCCATTCATTGTCAATTGCTTTTGGATTGATGTTTTACCAACTAATGCCTTCACATATTTTATCGTTGGGCTTGCCATAGTTGCAAACTTAGCATGAAACTTGTTGTGCAGGATGGAACAGCATCAAAAAAAGAAGATGAAGAAGGAAACATGATGTATGTGTCATTCCAGCAACACAAATGATAACCATGTTGTTTGAAATTTCTTTGAAAGACCAAGGTATTGCAGCGTGTTGCTAAGATTCTAGGAAGATGCCCTAGAATCCTTGATTTGGATTTTGCTGGCTATCAAAGCAGTACATAAGAGGAATGAACCCATTCTGCTTGCTATTACGTTCATATCCACTATTTAGAGGACATGGATACCACTCCTGATTAAGAAATGCCCATTTTCTAGCCTTATCTGAGCTACATAAATTTCCAAATATGTGAAAATTTTGTATGCATGATGAAAAAAAAAATCCTAAGGAAAGCTCATAAAAAAATCAACCATATGAACTCAACTAACACAACATAACCTAAATCTCAAGCTAAAAAGGGCCAATATGGAACAGAGTGTTCATTCCAGATTCATTGGAAATGTACTGTTCGTATCATTGGAAATTGTTTAAAAGCATTCATACTAGTGGGAGTGGCACTGCAAAAGAGAAGAAGAAGAATATGATACGTTTATTACAAATGAAAAATCAGATGAGTTTGAAAGGGAGAGGCCAAGGGGTGGACCTGGGGACCTCCACCTTGTCCTTGATCCGCTCTATCTTCTTCTCATATTTTGGTCTTGCGTTTCCGTACGAACCTTTGAATCTCTTCCCTTTCTTCGTTTTCTTGTCCCCTCGACCGCACAGTACCGGCACCCCCGCCGCCGATGGTGGTGGTGGTGGTGGTGGTGATGATAATGATGAGAGTGACGACATGGCCATTCGATGTTCGGTCGACATCACCATTCTCCTTGCTATTGCGCCGTACCACTGTATCATCGCCATTTTACTCTTCGGGAGCTTAAACCCTAGAGCCCGGGACTCACAAGCTCAACGAGAAAAGGCTGGGACTCTCTTATCTATGTTTGGAGCTTTTTATTACGTTTCAGACCTCCCTTTGGAAATCATTCGTAAATGCACCCCTATTTTTTTATAAAATTTTCATTTTGGCCCAATAAGTTCAGCTTCCCCCCTTCCCCTTATCTTTTTTGGGTTTAGTATTGTTACGCCAAGTGGTGTACCCAAGCCAAGAGTGTAATGAACACCCATGAAGCTGCAGCATTTGAGGTTAGAAGAATTATACTTTTAATGCACTTGGAGGGAGAAATAACGATTGATCAAACAATCTGAAGAACACATGATTGATAGAGATATTACCAAGAAAATCAGGAAAAAAAAAAGGAAGATAATTCTTAAGATACGCCAAGAAAACCATAAAAGAAAAGGAATATAATTTTTTGGGTAACTAGGGAAATCTCTAGTCTATATTGTAGAAATGCACATATGTCGCTCAGGTTCGTGAGTCCGAATAAAACCTAAAAGACAAATTTCAAGTGTATATACCGATCTCCCAACCTAAACACCAGTTAAATTTTTTTAAAAAAAAAAATTTAGAGGAGAAAAAGAAAACTTGAACCCTTGATTTTAAGACAACAAAACCTTCACAAAATAAGAAAAATCATTAGACCAAAGACCCGTTAATTAGGACTTACATTTCACGAAGAATTCGAACCCACACCAAACATTCAATAGAATTCGTCAAAACAACTCCTATCAAACGACCACGTTTTTGTCGCCCATGCTAGTGTCCAAAATTGTTCTCCACTTTTGCTGCACTAATACTGACCTACAATGTTCTAATACAAGACCACCACGGCTGAAATAGCAATGACAGTTTGTTATCAATAAATTATAGGAGCAGCAACCTAACCAATCCAGTAATGGGCAGCACCAAAGAGGTGCCCAACTATATTTTTGCAAAAATTTGAACAGCCAAGAGAGAGAGGACTCTCGCATTTCACCAAGATGAGCTTTTGTATCCAAAGTCCTAGGCATCAGCAGTCTCAACCTAATCACACACATACACTCACGAAACATTAAGAGTTGAGGAGGAAAAAAGAACAAAAACGAGAAATAAATAAATAAGCCTATTTTCTTCATTGTTGAACAAGAACCCACTGTTCCATTTTATAAATCTTTCATCATCTCCGGTCAAGAAATTCTTGGGATTTCTGGTCCACACCAGAACAGGTGAACGAGAACAAGATAAGTTATAGGGTTTGTCACAATACAATCAACCCTTTAATGAGTATTTTTTCCCTGAAAATGGCTGGAACTTTGGCTCTTCCTTCTTTTGCGGCTGCTCTTGTTTAGTCTCTTTTGCAGCTTCCTGCAGGAGAGTGAAAGAAACAACAACGCAATATATATCTTTAGTGGCCTAACCTTGGAAGATATATCAATATCAGCAATTCAGGGTATGCATATTGGAAGATGAAAAAAATACCTTTTGTGTCCCCTGAGATCGGTTTGCATTCGAGCCAAACACAAGCTTTCCCTTAGATTGACTAGTAGCACTTTGTGAACTAGACCCCGCAGAAGGCTGGCGACCACCATTGGAAACATCAGGTTGCTTGCCTTTGGACCCTGAGGAGGAAACTGGAGGGGGCTGATAATTCAGAGGTTTCCCATCCAAGCGTCTCCCTGCTCCAGTAAATGGGTTGAATTTTGGTTCAGCCTTAGCTGGAGCCTCTTGACCTGCATGCAAAAAAGTTAGTTGGCAAACATAATGCCAACAAAATCTCTAATGTAAGAGCTTCAATCTTGAGTCTTCAAAAAAACATATATGGATCAGACTTTCGAAAACAAGGGACCAAACAAGTCATCTCTCCATCCAACCAAGCCTCCCCAGCAACAATTTAAGCAAACAAGTGCAGGCATGTTGGAATTGTGGCTGGTTCATATATGTTAGAAATAAGAACGAGACTCAGATAGCTGCACAATGACATACCCTAACATCCCGATATAAGAGCAGTGCAGCCCATATTTTGAAGAACTCGCATAGAATCCCATCTGAACCTCAAAGCAGAAAAAAGTGGGATTTCTGGGGAACAAGGGGAAAAAAAGAGAGAGATATTGTGTTTTCTATCACTCTAGTGACCTACAATTAAAAAGGGAATCCAGAAAACAAAAACTACACGTCATACATGAGAAATATAAAAAGACAAAGATCTTTTGTCCAATGCAACTATTCAAAGTAGCCAAAGTTTCTGCTGAAAGTAACAGCCTACACATTTGCTTGAAATTAATATGATGAGGAGACTGACTTACCTAGAAAACTAATCCAGGTTCATAACAACTATCTTGAGAAGAAAAAAATATCTGATAAGTGACATTCCAAAAACCGATTTGGCCAAAAGGAACCAGCCTCACCTCCACCAACAGATTTACCATACAAGTTGAATCTAGATATGCTCATATTTATCATTCCCAACATTGTATTAATAGATAGATAATATGAATGAATAAACAAACCAAATCGATGGTTTAAACCCAGTCGATATTATCAATTTTAGAGTTTTTCCGAGCAAAATGTGATCAATAGACTTCTTGCAAATAGAAAGTGTTGGAGTTGTAGCCTAGATTATTAGGGTTTTCCTTTTTATCTTTGTTTTACCTTTTTATCCTTATTGTATCTTTATTGTTGACTATTTATACGGGGGCTCTACACTTAGTTTGTATCCATTTTACATATTTCAAGTTGGTATCAGAGCCTAACCTCCATTCCTAACCCTAATCCTAACCTTAACCCTAGCTTTCATCACCCCCTACTGCCACCATCGACAGCCTCTCCACCGGTAAAACAAAAAAAAAAAAGCCAGTCCACTGCAGGCGCAAAAAACCACTGCCAACCGACTGCTATATACCCACAAAGCCAAAACCACAAAGCAAAAACCATATACCCACAAAGCCAAAACCACAAAGCAAAGCCAACGACCAGCACCGACTGCCTCTGCTGCTATACCCATCACCGACCAACTGCCATATACCCACAAAGCCAACTCCTCCCCAGATACCCAACCCCCGAGAACATACCCACCGATTGCCACATACCTACCAATTGCCCAAATACCCAGCACCGACTGCCTCTGCCTCTGCACCGAATGCCACATACCCCTCAATAAATAAAGCACCCTCTGCCCACCAAACATATACCAGCGACAACCTAGCCCATTAAACAAATTCCAAACCCTATACAGCCAGCCCATATACCAGCCCATTAAACATATACCAGTGAACCCAAAAATAGTAACCGGCTACCCACTCTACCCAGCCCACTGTCGGGTCGCATTTTTTCGTTGTCACTTCTTCGTTCGCACTCTTCGTCACAGTGCTGCCAGGCTGCAGTATCTAGGATCTTTTGTTTTATGAGGGGTTAAATCTTTTTCTCTGTATGTTGATCTGCTCTTGATGCAATAGATCATTTATATTTATTGGATTTCTGGGCACCGTGACTTGATTATTTGGGAGCTTTCTAGACCTTCTTTATTTGTCGCTACTGTTCGACTAGAGGTATATTGTTCTCCCTTATTTTATCTCTCTATTTATCTTAGAGTTGTTTTTCTGTCACCGGTGCCCTAGTATTATTGTTGATATGGCTACTACTAAGGGACTTGAGTCCTCTACTGTTGACACCTCTACCGTTGAGGTATCTATTGGTACTTCTACTTTTATATTTGACCAGTATACAGTACCTACTGGCACAGTTGCATTACTAGCATTGCTGGGCACGATCTCTCAGAAAGTTACGGCACAGTTGTTGAATGGCCGTAACTCGCTGAATGATCTCGCTTATTCCAACTTTTCCTAGGTCGTGTAGGGAAGCTTGGTTGGTTGACAGGATCTCACCCAAAGCCAGCTAACGCAGACCCTGGATATTCTGCGTGGTTCTCTGAGAACTGCGCCATTCTTAGATGGTTATTTGGCTCGATGGAGCCATCTGTTTGCTAGATTCATCAGTTTCATAACTCTATTCCGAAGCTATGGAGCGCATTATCATAAATGTATTCCCAGTCAGGACGGGGAGTTCATGTTTATGAGCTTTCTTAGGAGCTCTCATATGCTCGGCAAGGAGATTTGATCGTTCGGAATTATTATGGTTATTTGACCCAGCGATGACTTGAGTATGAGACTCTACGTCCTCTTGCTGCCATTTCGAAAATAGAGCCCAAGATAATAGCATTCTTGCATATTCGAGAGCAGGAGAATAGGATTCACAAGTTCCTTATGGGGCTTCGTGATGAGTTTGAGGGACCTCGTTCACAGATCTTGTCGATGATGAGGCTTCCATCTCTTTATGAGGTTTATGCGATGATTAAGCAGCATGAGTGCCGAGTCCGTATTGCATCCCTTCCAGTTGCGGCCTTGACTCCTCTGGCCGACCAGATGGCCCTTGCAGCTATTGCCGGGTCTCGTTCAGAATCCTTAGCCAGAGGTGGACAGCGGTTGGACCAGCGCCGTCAGGGTGCTATAGATTAGCGCAAACAGGGGAATTCTCGTCAATGTGATTATTGTGATCGACCAGGACATCTCAGGATTGCTTGTTGGAAACTCCATCCGGAGCTTAAGCCGCCTCCTCGGGGTCGTGCTGCTGCTATTGCTGAGATACCACCACCTACTGCCACTGTTCTTGCTGTTGCTCCTACTGTTCCTCCTTGGCAGAGTGATATAGATGCTATCACTTCCCGATTGGATAGACTTATGTCCGCCCTGACTTCTCTGGGTCCGACTTCTGCTACTGCCACCACTACAGGTATATCTCGTGCCTTTCATGTTCGCACCAATCTGTCTCCTCTTTGGATGCTGGACTCGGGTGAGAATGGTCATATGACAGGTGAGGCCCATCACTTCACCACTTTTGACGAGCAGTTACATACACAGGTTCAGCTAGCAGATGGGACACATGCCCCTATTGTTAGTAGGGGTACAGTTCGCCTCCCAAATGACTTTACATTACATTTAGTTTTTCATGCGCCAAAGTTGGCCATGAATCTATTATCCGTACATCAGTTAGCTAGAGATTTTTACTGTGCAGTTATGTTCTTATCTGATTTATGTTATTTGCAGGACCTGAGTACCAGGAGGATTATTATCAGGGGACATGAAAGAGATGGATTGTATTATCTAGGCGATTCACCTCCAGTTCCTCCACCTACATCACCTGCACCTACTTTGTCTTTATCTATTTCTAGCTTGCATGCTAGTATTTTACCTAGTACTTGTCGTTATAATTTTTCGTCACAAACTGTTCAGTTATGGCATGACTGTTTTAGACATACAAATTTTAAATATTTATGTATGTTGTTTCCTGCTTTGAGCAATGCTTGTGTTGGTGGTAAATTTGACTGTGTTATATGTTCCCTATCGAAACATGTTAGGACCAGTTATATTCCTCGCATGCACCAGTCACCTAAGTCATTTGACCTAATACACTCTGATATTTGGGGACCCTCTCCTGTTGCTGCTCTGTCAAGTGCTCGATACTATGTGACATTTATAGATGACCATACTCGTTGTACTTGGGTCTACCTTTTGCATAGGAAGTTTGATGTACTCCTTATCATCACTCGGTTTCTCCAAATGATTAATACACAATTCGATGTCATTGTTCGTGCTCTTCGTTCGGATAATGCCAAAAAATATGTGCCTTAGTGTCTCACCTTTCTTCCCAAGGTATCCTTCAGTAGTTCACTTGTCCATATACTCTTGAGCAAAATAGAGTTGCTGAAAAAAAAAATAAGAGTCTGATAAGGATGGTACGTTGTATACTTAGAGGAATGAGGGTACCAAAATCTTACTGACATTTTGCTATTTTGACTTCTACCTTTCTGTGCAATCGTACACCGAGACATATTCTTCAGCATAAGGCTCCCTTACAGGTCTTGTTCCCTGAGCGGACACTTTTTCCTATCCCCCCTCGTATTTTTGGTTGCACATGTTTTATTCTGAATCGGTCTCCTACTCGTTATAAGCTTGATGATACAGCGATTCGTTGTATCTTTGTGGGCTATTGTCATCAGTCTAAGGGATATCGGTGTTATGATCCTATCAAGCGCCGTATATATCATAGTCTAGATGTTACCTTTCTTGAGCATATTCCCTATTTTTCTTCCAATCCTATGTCTTCCCCTCCAATTGATGATACTCCCTTTGATTTTTCATTACCACAGGAGCCAGAGCCATTGGTCCCTATCACTACAGAGTCATCAGTCTCTCCTTCTCCACAGCTAAAGTCATCGGTCTCTCTTCCTTTGCAGGTTTATGTTCGTCGCCTTCGCTCTCATCCCCCTACTGATATCCCCCCTACCTCAAGCGATACAGGTAATACTTCTCAATTCGTTGAGCATATTAATGTCCCTGCTCTCATCCCCCTACTGATATCCCCCCTACCTCAAGCGATACAGGTAATACTTCTCAATTCGTTGAGCATATTAATGTCCCTGTTGTTAGTACTGATGAGATTGCAGGTACTGAGCTAGTTACATTACCTAATGAGACATTGTTAATGGAGGATGATGATTTAGGGCGTCGTTATCCACGGCATGATCGCCGTTCCAGTTGATCGTTATGGTTGGACCGCCAAAATTTTATATCCGATCTCTGCTTATATTTCTTATGGTGATTTGTCTCTCACATTTCGAGCTTATAGTATGGCTTTATCAGATACACCGATTCCTTGCTCTGTTTCAGAGGCTATGCGGGAGCCCTAGTGGGTTCTTACCATGCAAATAGAGATGGACGCTCTTCAGTGTAATCATACATGAGATCTTGTCTCTTTACTTTTAAGGGTGAAGCCTGTTGGCTGTCACTGGGTTTACACCTTGAAGTTTCTTGCGGATAGTACTATTGATCGTCACAAGACTAGGCTTGTGACGAAGGGCTTTACTCAAGTACCAGGTCGTGATTTTGGTGCTACATTTGCCGTCATGGCAAAATTGACTACTGTTCGGTTGATTTTTTCTCTGGCTGCAGAGTATTCTTGGCCTCTTCATCAGTTAGATGTGATGAATGCATTTCTTCACAATGATCTGAGCGAGATTATTTATATGGATGCACCACTGGACTTTCGTGGTGAGGGGGAATATGCTGGAAAGGTATATCGACTGCGTAAGTCTCTATATGGACTGAAACAGTCACCACGAGCCTGGTTCTCTCGCTTTAGTGATGTAGTCGTACGTTTGGGATTCACCATATATCATTCTGATCATACCTGCTTTATTCGGCGGAATACTTCTGAACAGTGTGTCATCCTTTTGGTATATGTTGATGATATTATTATTACTGAGAATGATGTTTCTGGGACTGCACCGGTCAAAATAGACCTTGGGAAGGCCTTCGATGCGAAGGATCTTGGATTTCTGCGATACTTTCTTGGGATTGAGGTTGCCCGTAGTAGCAGGGGAGTTGTTCTTTCTCAGAGAAAGTATGTTCTAGATCTTCTTTCAGACACTGGGATGCTGGAGTATAAACCGGCATTATCACCCATGATTTCAAACCTGAAGCTTACTGCTGAAAGTGAGGAATTAAGAGATCCAACTGTCTACCAGAGGTTGGTAGGTAGACTAATTTACCTAGCCAACACAAGGCCAGACATTTCATTCACAGTCAGCCGAGTTAGTCAGTTTATACACAGGCCGTGTCAGCCTCATCTTGATGCAATTTATCATATTCTTTGGTACCTCAAGTCTTGTCCTGGACTTGGGTTGTTCTATGCATCAAGATCTCAGACTGGTTCTCTTGCCTGTTATTCAGATTCAAATTATGGGGGAGCGTGTGACGGTCGATCTACTACGGGCTTATGTGTTTTTCGAGGGGCTCATCTTATCTCTTGGAAGAGCAAGAAACAGTTAGTTATCTCCCGCTCGTCAGCAGAGGCAGAGTATCGGACACTGGCACTTGGCACATATGAGATTATCTGGCTACGATCAATTCTTGGCGAGTTGGAATTTTCAGTGACTTCTCCATCCACATTATATTGTGATAATCGATCTACTTATTCAGCTTGTTTCTGACTCTGTACTACACGAGAGAACAAAGCATATAGAGATCGATGTTCACTTTCTTCGGGAGAAGGTTAGTCGTGGTATTGTTACTCCATTGTTTGTGGGGACTAGTGATCAGGTTATAAATATTTTCACCAAACCTGTCACTCTATCCATTCTCCAGGACTCTGTTGTCAAGCTTGGCTTAGTTGATATTTTTGCGTCTAGCTTGAGGGAGAGTGTTGGAGTTATAGCCTAGATTATTAGGGTTTTTCTTTTTATCTTTGTTTTACCTTTTTATCCTTATTGTATCTTTATTGTTGACTATATATACGGGATCTCTACACTTAGTTTGTATCCCTTTTATATATTTCAAGTGAAAGCCAGATGGGCCTTCACAGGCGAGTAAAATTGTATTCCAAAGCTTCTGATTAAGAAAAACTTGAGATTTGTTGGCTGACCCCATCCAACCTTCATCCTAATTTGCTCAAGGAATAAGATAAACTTGCAAGAAATCTGGTAGCCAATTAAAGCAAAGTGAACAATTAACAAAAATTGCTTTATCTATATTCCAAATGGAACAACTAAAACTATTTAATTACTGAACTTCCCATCATAGCACATAAAATGAACTTCAATTCATTTTCAGATCATATAATATTCTAAACCCTGATAAAAGAAGAGAAAAAAATACTGGGATTTGACTCACAGATAAGGCTTTCAGGCCAATCAAACACAACCGGTGTACTATACCACAAGTAAAAAACACAGTGGATGTACAGCCCTGCATCATGCATCCACAGAATAAGAGCTCAACAACCAGTCTTTAAGGGTCATAAAAGAAATTTATTTTGCCAAGCAATTAGATAAGCCAAGGACACGTGATTAAGAAGGCATTACTAATTATAAGAGATACAAGTGAGGTAGCTCCCACTCAGGTTTGACCACAACCATGACACCCACTCACAAATGGAGGAAACACTTCTGACCACCATTATAATTATCATGAAATTTAAAACCTCGCCCACTTTGCAATAAGTGAAAAGTGGGACCTAAAACCCCATCAAACTTGTAATAGAGGGATATCACAATATGAAAAGTTAACCAAATTCACACCTTCTGCCAGTGTATTGCTTGAAGGAACAGAAGCAACAGGCTTGTCAGGTTCCTTGTAATCAAGTGGAGGAGCGAAGTCTACCTCACAGTCTGTCTCAATGATAGTTATAGCATTAGAAGGCTTCGATTCAATAATGTCTATGTAATATTTTTTGTTGTTATATGCCACCATAATACTATCCCCCGTGGTTAAGCAAGAAAAGTTCCTCAGTGTCGTTTCCAAGCTGCATAAGTAAACAACTAAAAAAGGTCAAATAAGAGATCTACCCACAGTAATAGACACAACAAGTGTTCAAATTGTCAATCTCACATCAACTATTGTATTGTTTGTTGAAGAATGATGCACATATATGAAGTCTTCTATAAACTCACATTGCTTTTGGGTTGGAAATATCTAAGAAGTCCTTTGTGTGGGGTTGCAGTTTTACATATGTACCCTTTGGAAGAGTCACATTTTTTACTCGCACAATGTCTCCTTCTTGTAAAAGCAGATTCTCCATCATCTACAAAAAAGCTCAACGTGAATTGATGTGGAGAAAGCCTAGAAGATGCTCTAGCCCTTGACCAGTGAACTGATCTAAAGAACTGAAAGTAGACACAATCCTATTCGATGCCTACCCAATATGGCATATATATCATGCCTTCCTCTGCAATGAACTCTAGAACTCCACAATGTGAAACCCGCTCGGCAGCAGCATTATGAAGCTCAAACAACATAGGATAATCAATGTGCAGAGACGCTGCAGGAACATGTTTGTTATTAGTATTGCACCAAAATTTAGAGAGGAGAGGACAAAGGGGTAGAGAGAATCAAATACATCAACTTCAAAGTTAATCCATGACGTTCAAAGAAATGAACTCACCAAGGCGGTCGAGAGCTGATGGAGGCATTATAACTGAGAGCATATGTGAAATGAAAAATCACTTCAAGCGATCACAATCCAAAAAATGAAGGAAAGAAAGAAAAACGGTAGAACATGATTAATAACTTACTTTTATCACCATTTTCTATCTGTGGCTGCAGATTGGTAAGAGAGGACGGAATTAGAATACTTAGAAAATTAACTCAACAACTAGCAAAAAGAGAAAAAATCATTGGACAAAAAATTTCAGTTTTAGGTTATGTACAAAAATGCTTTTATAAGAAGCTTTTTTCTGTCTTTTTCTTTGAGAGCTTTATATTTCCTTTTTCTTATTTGGGGAGGGAGGAGGATCAGAAGGAGGCATAAAAATGCAAATCTACATAACCCAAAAATGAGTTAAAACAAAATACAGAAGTCTTGCCAGAAAATGCAACAAAAAGAGATGCCAGATATCAATATTTTCATTCATCAGAATCCAAAAAAAATCAGTACACACACAATCACAAAGCTCTGCCTCATCAAAAATAGGTAGATCTCAATCAGAACTGTCCAAAGGAAAGCATGGACTTTATTGAGTGCATGGAACAGGAGTAGAATGACAAGATTTTAAAATGGTTGCCCTTAACATGGATGAATGAAAAAAAATCAAGGGCATAAAACGAAACCATATGGCTATCAGTAGGCAAAATTAAATTGATATATGTTGAGGAAAGCCTTCCAACCTTATCAATAAAAGATGCGGGGTAACACCGATACGTTTGCTCAAACGATGTTCCATGGTATCCATATCCATCGAAATACTGGAATATCACAGCCAATAAAGTCAATAATGACAGTGCAAGAATTACTGAGAAGCATTAAAAATCATGAGCATATAATATAGCTTACAGAATTAAGAATAAGTTGCATGCATGAGATAATAGGCACATATGAGAACAATGTTAATCAAAAATTATGAAGTGAAATGTGCTAATGTTACAAACCACTAAAATCACAATCAGCAAATCAAATTGATTATTCAATTGTTCAATGATCCAATCCATTCACTATTTATGCATTTTAGTCTATTCGAAGATGACACATCCATGTCAAACACGTGTTGGATACTGACACTTCTTAGACATGCTCAGACAAATGTCCGATACACTTTTACCCTTCTTCATGATTAAAAGATAAAATTTCAATTACGCACCCATGTCTGACACTCCTTCGGTGATATGTATAAACAACTTTATGTCAAGTCTAACACTACATATAAACATGCTTCAAAATTTAATTAACAAATTTAGGAAATGACAAATGAATACCTTATTCTATGAAAAAGCATATGGTTGTTAGACTAGACATGTTAAAGTTGTACGGAAAGTTTATTAACAAAAGCAAACCAATGGATCTTTGATTCAATAATACTCCTTATCTTATAAAAATTTTCCTTTTTTAAGGTCAAGGGATCAAGTTTCCCTTCCCTTTCCCCTTCCCCAAAAAAAAATTAACAAAAGCAAAAGATGTATAAAAATTTGGCTAAAGAAGAGAAGATGAGAATAATTATTATAATTGTGTATTTTTGCACACATGATCTATAAAAAAATTGATGATTATTTACTATAATACTTTACTCTAAAAAATCCTTGCTAATTCACTGTACATTAGATTTTTTGACATAGAGTACTAAATCTCTTATGAATAATGCTATAGTTATTTGTAGATTCATCATAAATCACAAAATCTGATCTATAAAACATAATTATTTATAACTGAGTCCCCAGCGTGTCTAAGTCCTATTATTTTGAGAAATATTGTGTTCAGGTGTTAATGTCCTATCCGCGTCCCGTCCCCTTATCCGTGCTCTTAGATTCTATCATAGTGGTACAACTAAGAATCAGTTTATACATATTAAACTCATTGATACATATATAATTATCCAAAGGTGATTTACAGGAACAACAAAAGTCATACATAAGATGCAATCAAGTCTATATAAAAATTATAGGAGTACAAACAAGAAGAACTTGGGGAAAAATAAAAAATAAACCATGGTCATCAACTATACCATATCTATACACTGTCCGGGTTGTCTCACAACACGCAGTCAACCGTCTCAGCTCCCTACTGGAAGAAGATACACATAAATCAAACATGACTTTAAAAATCCGAAAATAGCTAGACATATGAATAAACGTGAGAAGTTCCGACCTAATTTAGACGAGATATTAAGTAATGCGAAGACTTTAAGATCCAAAATTAGGTATAGATCGATACGAGAGAGAAAGAATTGAAAAAATGAAGAACTTACTTGTAGAGTCGAATGAAGAACTGCAGAGAGATTGCGTAGAGAGAACCGAACCCAAGGGGACAGAATGATATGAGGACAAGAAAAGGCTAAGATGCGCCCTATGCTTGCTATGCACGCCAATGTTGCTGGCTACCACGTGAGCTCCGCATGACTTGGGAATTGGGCCTGTGGTGTTCAGACTGTGACCCTGTTTTATTTCCCAGTCCAGATTGCCTGAGCCCATCAGGCCCGATAATGGCAAGAGCACATCAGGCAGGCCCGATAATGGCAAGAGCCCATCATCCCCAATTTTTCGGGTTAATTACACTTTGTAGCAAAAGATTTGCACGTGTTACACCCTACCCCTCAAAATTGTCTCGCTCTTGTGCGTACCGATCATAAGTGGTAAAAATCACAGACATTTCGAATATGATCTAAATCTCCGATGAATTTCATAAATACAATCTGTATCCGTCACTATTAAAAATAAAAAATCCTAGCCAATTTTGTGATTCGATCTGCAAAACTTAATTTAAAAGAAATCTAAAAAATCACTTTGAGGTTTTCACTTAATCTCACAAAAAAATTCAATTATATTGTGTATTTATATACATGAATGACCATAATCATATTGTATATGAGTATACTAGGGGTAACAAACAAGGTGAAATGTGAATAATTTTAAGAAGGATGTTAATGATCGTCGGATGAATCTATTTGAGACCGTCGGATGAACTTATTGAAGTTTTTTATATTTTGTATTATAGATATAAATTTGCATCCGTGGAATAGGATACAATAGATTGGGATTATCGATTAATAACAATAACACTTACTCGACTTATTAGATTTGAATTTAAATCAGACCCAAATCGAAATTTAATTTATTGACAAGTCTAGGTATGGGGCCTCAATTGACTTCTATTTCTTGCCCAATTAGCAGATTCAGAAACAAATTGTCTAAGAAACTGCATTGCTATTAAATATATATTATCACAGGTAATGGTGGAGCACTTTCAAACCCAGAACAACCCACCCCACCCCACCCCAACAACCAAGGGACAGGAAGGGCACCCAAACAAAACTTAATCAAAATATAAACTAGTCCATCAGATAATGTTTAATTAAACAAAATCAGGCAACAGAAAGCAAAAGAAACTTGTTCAAACAAAATTCATAAACAACTCCTCATCCATCCCAAATAAAAATTGATTTGCTAATGCAATTTTTAGGACCCAGTTTGAAGAAATTAGAGGGTTTTAACAGATAAACATTAAAACAACTCCTTCAGAAAACAGTTCCTCTCCAATTGTCTATACTGACTTTTCCAAATAGTTGACAGCAATGGTTTGGTCATATCTCATTGCCAGATTTACTTCCTTTCTCCAACAAACAAATTTCAATTACTTCAGATTCTCAAGCATTATAACAATTATATGCCAAGGTGGGAGGTTAAAACCCCAGAAACTGTCTTTCTTCTAAAAAGAGCTAAGGACTCAAAAATAGAATTACAAATTTCATGCGACAGATATGAGACTATGGCCTACACCAAACCCCACCACACCCTTACACCGCTTGTGCACCAAATAAGCTCAAGATGAGAAATATCATTTCCCCCTGAAAACGTTTCCCACATATCACAATTTCTTCATAGAAAGTAGCCCAAAACATAACCCCATACCCATAAACCCTGCACAAATTCTCTTCTGAATAGAGAGAACAGGAGAGAGACCAGATTTCAAACCTTTCTCATGTTTCAAACTCCACCTCTGCTAACCATCTCCATCGCTCCATCAGCTGAATACCAGAGGCCTTTGCAATCGCCACCCAACACAACAATGGAATGATGAAACAAGGTTACTAAGAAGTGTTCTATACTAAAACACCAAACAATCACGACATTGTAGAAAAGAGGAAACCAAGAGTTGTGTTTACAAGCACCGATTGGCCATTACGGGATTAAGGCTTTGTTGAATTGAGTTGTATTTGGTCTCTTCCCAACTTCCCCGTGAAACTCGAAAGTGACACCCAGCTTCCTATGTAGCGTTAGCCATGCCATCCCTGTGCAAATACTCCCCCTCCTGGTGCCTCCCATCAAAGTGTGGAAAATAATCAATTTTGGGAAAAAATCTTCTGATTTCAGTAAATCTCATTACAGAAGCCTTTCAAGCTTTATCATGGGAAAAGGGCAGGACAAGGGTCACCACCAAAATTGCCTAACCCATTCACTACCCAATCCTTGGATTTGCTTTTAAGATAGTACACAAAATTGAATCAAATATTTCATATTAGTCCTATTCTGAGACCATCAGCAGGTCAAAATCTAGTTACAACATCAGAGGATATATGATAACAGGGTACCGATTTTTTCTCAAAGCCAGATTCAATTACGCATTAGTGTTCTTCAATCTTCTGACCAACTTTCTCTACATTTTTGTATGTCTTCACACCTATTTCCTTAATATTTGCTCCCCTAGTATGGTTCTACTCGAGTCAAAATCCTGCTTCGATAATGTGTATCACCAAGCAATACCAACTTCCACATGTTCAAACCTATCGAAATCCTAGCAACTATCACCAGTCACAACCACCACAATCTTCAAATACTTGCATCCCTTGCTCCAGAGTCTCCAGATTCACCCAATTCAAACCACAATATGCCTTGAGGTTCTGATAAGAAGATAAGCCCACACATTATGGCTAACAAACTGCCTGCATCTTAGAACAACTCTAACAAAGTTAAATCTAGCAAATGCTTCTAGGATGATGCATCAGGTGACACCCCAACACATACGAGAGCAGCTGGTACAATTTATAATCATCACTGAATCTCTGTTTATACACCGACTAAGCTTTCAACCCAATAATTGTATGTAACAAGTCACTGCTATTCATTCTTAAAAACACTTCAACTTGAAACCCCTAAACCATTGAAATGCACGGTACACTCAAACCCAAATTCTGTCAATCAGATAAGCACAGTGATTAAGTGGTTGCTCAACAACCTCCAAATCATGTCTTCTCCGGCCCATCGCTAAAATACTTTAGCATCTTGCTATTTTCATGACACTACTTAAGTCACAATCACACAACCCAATCTCACATCCGGACAACCTGTAAGATATATTTTTGCTTTGAAACAGACAGTGATATCCACACATTTTTAATATTCACCACTAGACATCAAGAAGTAATTGACAATAATTCGATTTATCAAGGAATTGTTTAACTAAGACAAATAAAACAATCATCTTAATGCTGTCTCTTAATGCATATTCACTTGAACCTATTCACATAATCATCAAGCACCCATAAGTATATTCAGGAAAGTTCCGATTCTTATTCTCAGACTAGGACCAAATCAGCAATGAAAAATCACCATGTTGACGCGTTTTTTTGTAGTCATTCATGAATGATTGAATAACAGTCAAATAATTAAAATTCACATACAAGGTCATCTTTAGTCAATATGCATACCAACATATTCCATCCCCGACAGAAAATAAAACTACCAGGACCCACAACAACTAGGTTACAGAATCTAATAATCTTACTTTGTAAGAAGAACCGACTCAAAGGTACACAATCAGAACCATACTAAACAAAGAAGCCCTAACACATTACAGAGAATAACCCGTAAATAAAGAGAAGCTACACATTAAAAAGTCGACCAATTAAGAATTTATGGCATATTCAACTGGTCGCACTAACTAGAAAACTCTTGTATTCAGTAACATGAGTCGCAAAAGCTAACTTTTAAACTGAAAGTTTAGGATACAGGCATAAAAAGATCACAGAGAAAAGGGGGAATTGGGTACCGAATTTACATTAGGACCGATTCGGTCATGTCCCCACTTCTCCACAAAATGCAAACGACTATCCCTGCTGCTTACATCTTGTCCATAACGAACTAAAAGAGATGAACAAAATAAAAAAAACAGGAATCCAAAGTTAAAACAGACGACCCTGACCACAAACACAAACCATTTGAAAGGAAATGGCGGAAATAGAGTTCTAAGACAAGACTCAAGCAATACAATAAGACCACTGTTCGTCCTCTCCAGCGGCAGAATCAGCAGCAGCACCATAATTCTCATCATTGCAATAGTAATAACCATTATTACCATTAGCAGCAGTCAAGCAGCAAGAGGACGTTGCCATAAGATAAGGCATGTTATTGAATGAGCGGGCGAGACTGCTGGCCAGAGAAGCATGGCCCATATCATCATCATCATCATCATCTTCGTGCACAAACTCCTCCGTGCGGTGCTTGAGTGTCTCGAACATGAGCTCGGGTTCGTACTGCATCAGCCGGAGCACGTCCGCGCAGGACGGACCAGGAACTGCGCGCGTCACCGCAAAGCTATGGGGACCATCACTCTGCGAGACACGCACAACGCTTGGACCCGCAAACAGGTTGTGAACTCCACCAAGCGACTCCTGATAAGCCCCGCCCAAAAACATCCCCAAATAGTACCTCCCACCACTACCTCCATCGCCTTCCAACTCATGAAGCGGCAAGCTTGACTCGCCCCCTATGAACTTGTCAACTTTGCCATCACTATCACATGTCAAGTCCGACAATATCCCCTTCACTCCAGGCCTTTCATCGAGCCTATGGATGGGAACAATAGGAAACAATTGCCCAATGCCCCA